GACTTTTTGAAGTTAGTATCCTCACTCCCATAAAATGCAAGGAAGCTTGAAACAGCAAGACAGAAAAGAATATAAAAAGAAAATAATCGCTCATGATGAATAAGCAAAGCTCTGCCAGGACATCTACTAAAAGCCAAGGGGGGTGAAAAATAAAGGAATAAAATGCTTACTGTGTCCTTATTTGTTTGCAGCGTTTACAATGGTGCAGGGGGGCGACTGGGGGTGTCATGTCAACTCATTGAATCAAGCCAAGTCTTCCTCCTCACTGAGGGCTGCTTAGTTTCAGGATTTGCTTCGTTTACCCCGCCCTCTATTCTCAGGCAGGCCTGAGCTTGCCCACTGAACACACAGATCACAGCGTCAGGCCAGGCCGTTGGTGAACGCGCACAGCTTCGTGACGTTTGTTTACCTCTCATTTCTCAGTTGTCCTCTAGAGCAATGCGGCAGGGCCACATGCCGATGCATTATTCACTCACCTGTGCAGCTGTGAAGGACAGGCTAATTGGTGGCAGTGGGTGTTACAGCCATTTTGGTACCTGTAGCTAGAGACCTGTCTAGAAAGAAGTCAGCTTCTTGAACAATTGCATTGCTCAACGATTTTGGACAGTTATGTTTTTTCAGATTGCTATGACATTAGGACACCATTCTCAATAAAGGGATTATATAAAGTATTCCAGTGGATGTCCAAAGTTCACCTATCTGTGATTTAATGCATGCTGCCAAAAAGGCCGTTCAGAACTTTGAAATGACTAATGGAATTTAAAAAGTACAGTGTACAATGTTAGCGTCACGGAAAACCGGCAGCACGCATTTTGGATGCATACATACACAAAGCCTACTGAATGTCAGACAGGAAGAGAAGAGCTTTAGAAGAAGCTCGTAGACCTTAGGATTCTGGGGAGAATTCAGCATGGTATCTGTGATCACTGCAATATTCATCACACAACCACCCAATGATCTCAGACTTCCTGTCATCACCAGCGCGCCCTGGAGCACCTGATACACCAGAAGAACCTTATCAAATCTCCCGCCTACCTGCTGTCCCTCCTTCCACTGAGTACGAAGGAGGTGACATATGTTTGCAAGGAATTAATGACGCTAGTCACTCACCCACCTGGACTGGGGGGGGGGGGCAGCAAAGGGGGCTCAAGAAGACATTCAGAGAGGTTCCACTGCCCAGACCTCTCATACAACTCTTTCCGGAATGCCATTGTTATTTCCCAACAAGACTGAGTGTTTGGTTAGATCGGCCAGTAATGGCAAAGTTAAAACAGTGCAGTGTTTCACAGCTCCAGGCAGCTGTTGTGTAGTGGAATTTCACTGAGAGATAGTTGGATAGTGAATTGGGACTTTGAGAAACACAAAGAAAACAGTCATGGTGAACTATAGTTCCCAGAATGGCTTTTTCCCACTTTTATTTCATTTCCAATCATCTGCCCCTAAAAACACTGAGAGCAGAATAATGGACCTTCTCGCCAAGCTGTGCTCACTGGCTGCTTGTTCCCTTTGCCGGTGACGCACATCAGGAAACTTTCTCGCTTCTGTCTCCCAGGAAGACTCGTCAGCTCATGCTGCTGTAATGAGCAGCCTCTCCGCAGCCTCTCCGCCAACCACATCCCAGTGTTGGCTCAAAGGTTCCCAGTGTCCCAACAGGTCACATTCACCACTGTCCCGCAATCAGCTCTGTCACCACGTTTTTCTGTAACTTTGTACGATATCATCACAGATACTGAAAATGCAAGTAATACTTGTTATAAAGACAAAATTCTTTCCAATTATGAGTTAGTGCCTCTGCCAAGGCATGGATACTTACGAATCAGCCGACTTGCCTAAGTTCCCTTTAAAGGCCAATGATAAGATACAGGATTGCATCTTCCTTGATTTATCCTTGGAGATTAATGAAGTTATCTCTCTATGGAGAGTTACTCATTTCATCTATCAGAAACAATGAAGCCATATCCATTGAAATGTCGGTTAATACGTTGATATATATATCTAAAAATTAGGTCTGTTTTTTTTCTATAGCAGTTTTCTTAAATCTCGATAAACGGGTCTAATTATCATTAGGCCTTCACCTCCCGTGGAGCGAAAAGGCCCAGCATATCACAGAGCACTGGAGGATCTAGCTCCCCTGCCTAGTAGCACTTAATGCGGAGGAAGACCTGGCAGCCCCTGCTTGCATCTTGCTGTTGTTTCATTCTATGCAGCACATCGCTTCTTACACCCAAAAACCACAACAAACACATTCCGCGTCTTTGAATCGCCTAGACGGTGTGAGGGGCTTATTCCGGTGTATTATACCAGAAACACACACTGTTTCAAAAACCTACTTTGAATATACCCCTGCTGATTGGGGTTATTAAAAGTTCACTTTGGTGAAGCAAATGCACCTTTACAAAGACGTGCGTGGCGGCTGTAATTAATCTCAACCGCCAGCGACTTCTCCCTCTCCACAGTCACTGTTCCCTCCGCAAGCTACCCTAACCCTCCCGGGCCCAGAGGATCAACAGTGGAGGCTCTCGCATTCTCCTTGCCGTCTACATGACAAAAGGACTGGCAGTTGTCTGGGAGACTGCCTTTCATTAGCCATGTGATAAAAAAGATGGATTCCCTGTTTCCCCTGTGCCTCTCCCCCAGTCCGAGCCTCCCCCCTCCCTTTCTGAAACGTCGGGACAAGCTGAACTCCCGAGGCTTCCAACCACCAGAGGCCTGACCACCCTCCCTGTCTGCGCTCAGGCCAGAATACCAATAGGGTTGTGGGGCAACTGTGAAAAATACGTCCTAAAGGCAGCCTTGTTATTCCTTGGTGACGCCGCCAAGCTAATATTTTCACAAGGCCCGAAAATCCTAAGGATCAGCACGTCACAGTTGGCTGAGCAGACACTCGTGCCTCTCCGGGTCACTTTCTGTCTTGGTCCAGCCCCTCTTGTCTTTTTTTCAATCAGTCGTTGTTTTCTCATTGGGCTCATGGGGGGGGGGGAGGGGTATGGGGGTGCAAGTATGAAGCTGTGCATGAACATATGCTTTGTGTGCTGTTGACAACTTTAATTTATAAAAGTTTCAGAAACAAATGGATGTTTACAGAAGTATATCACATAAAACTAAACTTAAATGCACATGCATCCATCTATCCATCCATCCTCAAACTGCTAATCCTGGACAGGGTCGCAGGGATAAATGCATATCATAAACAGTAATGCAGATCCAAAATGTTATCTGGAACATACAGGAAATCATAGACTTGTTTGTTTCTAAAATACTTCTGTGGACCTTAAAATTTATTTTCTATTAAGTAGCTGGGGAAGGAAAACCTTACTTTTTATAATATGCCACCTGACATAGAAAAGACACAGATGAGAAGTCGCAAGTTTGCAGGGAAATTGAGTTTTCCTTTATTGAAATGGTCCGTTCCGTTTTGTACGCATGTTTGTACCGACATGCGAGTGTCTTTCTGTGCCTGTTATTGATTCAAGCTGTTTCTGAACCGAAAATCAAAGCTCTTCATTTTTGTTATAATTGCACAGCATCAATAACACCACCAAGCATTTCTTTTTCACAGTGTTTCTGAAATGTATCTAAAAAATTCACATGAATATCACAGTATCACACAATAATGTGCTATATCCTGATGTCTAACAAAGCGTGCAGCTTTTAAAGAAATTAAGTAACTTTTTTGCTGACATATTGAGCTTTGAGTCTTAAAGTGTTCCTTGGATGACACGGGCAGGGTTACCACCTAAGCATGGGTATCTCCTTACACAAAGCTGTCAGTGAGGTTGGGAAATAATGCTGGCATCATATTACGGTAGCTTCTCTTCTAACAAACCTACCTAATAATTATAGATCGGTCCTGAGCGTGAGCACTTGCCTGAGAGAAACAGGACATCTTCTCAATAGGTGCGTGTCTACCTAAAGTATGACCTCAGGCTGCTAATGCCGGTCAGCCACCCTATCCGCTTAGAGGACGTCCTCGCAGAGCATGAAGACACAGTTCATCTAATCTCACCTGAAAGCCATTATACCATGTAAGGAGTTCATACATTATTGATAAGGTTCCATGTCAGGCTTAAACTGCTCCCCTCAGCATTAGTTTTTAACTCTAACATTATTTTGCACTTCCTCATTTGTTGCAGCTGCCCAGCAGTCCTTCCCTGAAATCGCCGTGTGAGAGGAGCGTTCGGCAAGAAGGACATTTAATCGCAAACAGAAGTCCACAAGTATTCATCAGAAATCATAAAACACCCCTGCGAAAGGGAATTTGTCCGCGGGAATTTGTCCAAAGTCAAAAAGAGACGTTTCCTATCGACAGGTCCTTGATGTAATGCCACATAAATCCATCACTATAAGTTGTGGGACAATGGAGACACAGAAAGCTGACAGAGAAAGCCCCTAAGGTTGAGTAAGGCTGAACAAAAAGAGACGTCCAAACAGAGTACACATCTATTTAGACCCCACACGGACCCAGCGGGGGGGAGGGGGGGGGAGGCGACCCTGGGAGACAATGATCTGACTGAGCACAGACAAAGGTGGATACAGAAGCACATCCCTGACTACTGAGGCTCACCCGCAGGACACATGACACAGGAAACAGGACATTTTTTAGCAAATACAGGCTAGCTAATAAATAGCACCTTGAAAACATTCCCTTTTACTAACTAATCTCTAAGGAGCAAACCAAAGTACATTATTATTCTTTGGTTTTTCTTTTTATTATTGTTATTATTATTGTTGTTGTTGTCATGTTGTTCTTGTTGTTGTTATTATCATACCTGCGGCATGTTTCAGGAAGTTGTCAGATTTAAGGTAGTCTGGGCTAAATGAACTTTATCTTTATTCACTTATATTTACCCCAGGCTACCTTAAATCCAACAAGTTATCCGGCTAAGCAAGAAACCCTGCTTTGTGGAACTGGCCCCTGGGTAACAACCAATAAACATACTGAGAAAATTAAACACTCGGAGTAAACGAGAAGTAATCGAGAAACACCAAAGAATCACCCAGCAAATTTAAAGAATTTTATTGAAAATAAAACATTAAAACACGACAGGGGTTGTTGCACCAGCACTCCTGAACTGCATATTTCAGCGTCACAAAACAAAAAGTTACAGACAAAGATAAAAAAACAAACACAACACGCTCTCAGGTATTATGTATACAGGACATAGAACAGCAGAGTCTGGTTTGGGCTGCGCTTTAGGGACAAGTTGTTCATAATGGTCCTTTGTGTGTACATACTGAGTCACTAAGAAGGAAAACATCTTTTTATTTTTCTTTAAAATGGAGCTAGAACATTATTCATAATCAACATCAGCTTGGTGACTGCTGATGGTTCCTGAAAGAGACCGCAACTAGTGTGTCATGCAATAACATGTAAAATGAGAAATAAACAATTTCTCCTAAGGAGGTGACTGCGGCTTGTTCTCAAATTTTGCTACCTTTGCCAACAGGAAACAGCAGCCTCTGCACGTCAAAAATTTAAGCACACCTGTTGTTCTATACTCCAAAATAATCCAGATATAACAGTTCTCACTTCTCCTACAGCAATGGATATTACCCAATAAATATAAAACATCCCAAAGACCTAATGATTATATTCCAATACCTTTATCTAAATTCTCCAAAAAATAGCAAAGCTTATATTAATCACTAGAGTCCTAATTTTGGTCTTTGCACCCAAAAAGTAGTTAAATTGTAACATTTTGTATGTGAGCACTTATCTAAGACCACTTCATTAAGGAATTTATCTTTAATTTTATGTTAAACAGATGAGATTATTACAATAAAACTACTGCTCAGTGATCAACAGAAGCTGCCTTGCCGTTTTATGCTTTAATATCTGACATGCGATTATCTGGTCTGAACTTGGAAAAAAAAAGAAAGAAATCAGTACAAACATTTCTGGTAATAAATTTATATTAAAAAAATCCTATTTTCTTCTGTTTTGTGTGCATAGTAGAAGAACAGTGATCATTTGAACCAGTTTACTTCAAAAGCAGGGAAGTCCAAACAAAAACAAGCTTCATGATTAATCCACCTTAAAACTATGATCATTTGGCACATAAGTCTCATCTATTTATTAGAGAGTTTTATATTTTGTTATAGACAAAAACACTTAACCTGTTATCTCCCCAGTTGCCTGTTTGAGTCAGTCTAAGGGATCAGAATTAGCTCCAGTCCGCTAGATGAGAGACAGTTAGGAGTGACGCCTGGTGCTCAGTGATACCCAACTAACAATCAGGTCTTCATAAGACTTACGTATGAAGATCTAGCTTTTAGTGCGTCCTGTTTCTTCTCATTACATGGCCTCTGCTTCCCATTATCTAAGGGATATTGAAGCCCAGAATGAATGATCTGACAGATCAAACACAGCAGAATTGATGTTCATCCATTTTTTTATCGCCTGTGTTTAATTTCTACACAATGCTGTATGATTTTGTTGACTGCTGTCAAGTAGGCATGACTATGAATCATGATCAGAAATTGGAGGTGAATCAACGGTGTCTGAACTGCAAGAAAACTGACTTAGTTGTTAAAAAAAACATGAAACCTTACTGCACATATTTCTAACATAGGATTATTTTCCAAAGTCAGAATTTGATGCTTTTTGTGGAAGCCCTTATTTTAGCATTCACAAAGTCTGACCAAGTGTTAAAGTTTTTAAAAGGTCACATTGCTGTTCTCTGTGGCAGTTTTTGGCCTGTGTTGATGTTGCATTTTGAGATTCCATACAATTTGCTCAATGCTTATTAAGGGTTATTCAAAGAAAGCTACCATTTGACAATATTTCGAACATGACAGTATCATAAAAGGTTCCACACCTCTGCATGCTAGGCCAAAGTTTGGAATGAAAGCTCAATGTCCTTAGAGGTAAAAACAGTCTCCTCACTCTTTAAATGAGTTGATTCTTCCCTAAATCACCTGCTTCCAGCTCAGGAACAGAGAATACACCTTATTCAAAGCATGGATTCGATCTTACTGCTGAGATCACCATTAAGGGAGTCTCCAAGGTCGAATAGCTGGTCGATGTTCACAGCTGAATTGCAGAGAAAGTCAGCCCGCTTGTCCTGCCCCTCTTCATCATCCTGTTCAGGCCAGGGACTCTGCAGGAAAGCGGTGGTCAGAAACGTCCCCTCGTCGAAATCCAAGCTGCTCTCCTGCGTCTCGGATAAAACATGGCTGCTTGAAGCATCACCAGATGTCTCCAGAGGGCTCCACTGCTCCGGACGGCCAATATGTATGCCGTGTATTGTCAGGTCCTCGTCGTGCTCTATGGGGCTCAGCTGGCTGGTGCTGTCCAGGATGAGGTCGCCGGTCAAGGCTGAGTCCAGCAGGGCATCCCAGTCAAAGTCCCCCTTCAGAGATCCCAGCTCCTTCTGCTCGTCAGGAGATAGCAAGGGCGAACTGCAGCGCCGAAGACCTTTAACTCCCGTGATCCTGAGCTGTTGGGCTTGCTTCCTCTTGGAACCACACCTCTTTCCCCTGCCGGATGTAGCAATCTCCCTGTTGGACGGGTCCCAATTCTGGTCCACTGCCGTAGCCGCTTCAAAGTCCCGCAGCAGCTGTTGAGACTCTGGGCTGACCAGCAGCTCGCTGTGTCCAGCAGGGAGGGGGCTCGATAGCCCCAGGGGTGCTGCTCTCACCCTGGCCTGCAGCACGGGGTTGATCTGCACAGGCGGATGCCGATGCTTCTTGTAAACGCCGCTCATCAGTCGGTCTGCATACTGGGGGTCGATCTTCCAGAAGCCTCCTTTTCCAGGTTCATCCTTCTGCCTTGGGACTTTTATGAAGCACTTGTTCAATGACAGGTTGTGCCGGATTGAGTTCTGCAAAGATTCGTTGAGAAAACGCCAATCGATGACAGTAATTAATGCGTTCTTCTGAAGCTCAAAACAGTCAAAATAACTAACAATTAATCATTCTAATCATGAAAGCAAAAATGATTATGAAAGTCAACAGCATATGCAACAGTACAGACTGTTACGTTGCTCCAGCTCACGTTAACTTATAAAGACTATGGTCTTCTTCTACAGGTTAAATATTACTGAACCTGTGCTTTGGTTTAGAAAACCAAAATTGTGTAGGAATGCACCTAATTAGTCTTAGCAAAACGTTACAATAAGGAGGCTAAATAGATTCAGCAATGATTTATCAAGTTCCCTAACCATCTGGATCTGATTGCTTTTAAGTATAAAAACATTCTCTTAACATTAAGCCATCACAATATAACCCTTTGCTTTTTTTAGCCCAATTAACTTTTTTTCCTGTCTGATTATCTCTCTGCTGAAGCAAAAAGGCAACAAAAAAAAATCCAGAATACTTATTAAATATGATGTCAGAAAGTGGTGAATATGGATTGGCTATGACTGGCACAGCTGTGACGGCTGACGTGAATGCACTTGATTACACACAATGCTCCAGTCCTAACACTTCTCAAATATGGCAGCTCGCCCAGAGCTCTCGAAAATATCCAGCCTAACAAAAAAGTCTGACTCCTTCCCGTAAAACAGAACCGTGCCCAGCTGCAACTTGCCCCCCCCCAAAATACACAGAGCTCACCAAGGGCTACATCAACTGCTGCAGGGAGTACTTCCCCGCCTGGCATGTTAAAAAAAACAAGGAAGGAAGAAATGCTGGCATGATTTTGATTCAAAAGAGCTCCAACTTATCAGTTTGACTAACTGCAAGCTTATAGTGTGTAATGGGTGGCCAAATGTATTCTGTCAGATACACACTCAATACTACTGTTCCCTGTCTCTGACTGTATTTGTGTCCACTATCTCTCACAAATATAAAGTAAAACACAGTCAATAAATGACAGCTGTACAGTTCATAAATCCGTATAAATACAACAAAATACATCCCACTCACCTGCCAAGTGGGGTCAGCATATCGGAAGTAGCAGAAATTGTCTGTGATCCACTTGTAGATGCAGGAGAGCGTGATCTTGGTCTTTTTGCTGGCCTGCATCGCCATGCAGATCAGCGTGGCGTAAGAATAGGGTGGCTTAATGTGTGGGTTGGTCTTGTAGTCTACCTCCTCTGGGCTGTGGCCGTACGTGGTAAAAGCGGACGAGGGGAGGCCCCTACAGAAGGCCGCAGCTGTTGGCTTGCCCGGGGTGTGTGGCATGCCCATGGATGCCGGATCTGCTGCCATGGGAGATGCGGGGGCCTCAGATCCCACTAATCGCTGGTGTCCATAGAGGCTGTGGTGCTGGGCGGACAGGGGTGCCACCTGGCCTCCGCTGGCGTTGATGATGGAGAATTCCTGGAGCCACTGCAGGCTGGTCAGGCTGTCGTCCAGGTTGACCGAGCCTCCGCAGCTGCTGCCGGTACGGCCCATGTTCTCATCCCGCTCCTCTGCCTCTGCAGCTGCAGTCACCACCACCTCCTCCAGGCCCATAGAGCCCTCGAGCCAGGAGTCTGCACTGCTCAGAGACATGACCACTTCTCTCTCCTTCCCACCAGCTGTCTAACTGCTGTTGGCAGGTACAATGCAAGAGCTAGCAAAGACCTGACAGCAAAAAAGGACAGTAAGGATTCACATATGGCCATATCTGTAGTATATTTCACTCCTGCCCATCATATATCAGTTACTTATATTAGTAAATTAACTGGGTAAACCGGATCTGTCAAATCTAAAACATTTTTCATTGAAAAGAAATTTTTCATTACGATTATAATTCAAATGCTCAAAACATACACTACTAAGAAACAGAGTCCCGTGACGCCAAGACTGAGGCAGCGTAATATGCAGGACGGTCATAGAACTTTCCTGAAATTCTCGCGGTCGCTCTCAGAAGCTACAGCTGCTCTGTTAATGATTGCGATGGAGTTGCGTGCCGACATCAAGCAACGGAGATGCAGGTACCAATTTATTTATAGGCCTTTTTCAAATAAATTAAATTAGTGATATTTTTGAAAATATCGATAATGATAGTATTCACTACAGAAAAAAATATATATAATTTATTTTTCGTGTGTGGGTGCGTATTAAAAATTGCAGTACATCATGCATATTAAATGATATGGCAATTTGTACATTTATGTATATTGTATACGAAATGAACGCTGCTTTCACGTTAACATTCAATAATTGCCATGCAAATATTTTTTAGTAGTATTATAATAAAATATTCTTATTAGTACTGAACAACTCACCTTCTCAATACGAAAGAGAATTATAAATATTTTAAATCCTTGACAAAACTCCTGATGCTCTACGTTGATGAAATCCTTGCACATACACCTGCTACCAGCTCTCACTCTCCTGTAAAGAAACCCAAAGTAGGCAGTTTCGACCGCTTCGCAATGTTGTGTCCGGAAATTTGGTATCTTGTCAACGGTGGCAGCAACAGGAAAGCTCTTGGGGGCAGTTTAATACCTGCACCAAGAGGTTTGCCTGAACACCATAGAAACGGCACACCCCCTTGTAAACAGCTTCCTCGTCTCCCATTGGTCGAGGGGTTGCTATAGCATTCCATTTTAATCATTTTCTCACTTCGGGTTTGACTACCTCAAAGTTAATTCAGACTGATAATAGAGAAAGGAGTTGGGGGTGGGGCGGTTTTCAGGGTGAACTTTACCTTTTTTCCATGCAAATCAGTTGGATATGTAGCCTGGCAGTCGGAAGGATCGAAAAAAATATGTAAAATGATGCCTTGTGATGATATACTATAGTAACGTTTTAGACGAGCTCTTTAAATGACTGTCCTCATGATTTCCGCGTGCCATTCTAGATAAACTGGGACTTAAGCCCCACAATGTTGAAAATGCATCTGTCATGAGCGAGACATTTGAAAATATTTGGCTGGATAAACAAATTCGGAGAAAAAAAAAGGATACGTTTTACTGATGTGAACATGGTGGATCACGTAAAAGCTTTTGCTCTCGCAGAAACTATGTCTATCTGTTTATTTGGTATCCATTACTGAACATTTTAGGTGAAAATGTTATCTTAATTAACATACTGCAGGTATCAGCAGTTAAGTAATGTAAATTGGACGATATATTAATAGAGTTTAGCTTGACTTTCATTATCGTTATATTGATCAAAGTACCTGTCAAGTTCAATATCCATAGGCAAAAGGCTATAGAAATTATAACTATGATACCACGTAATTTTTATTTAGTTTGCTACCAGTTTACAATAGATGCACCAAGTGAATAAAGCTGCACAAATAAATAAATAAATCGTTTAAACCCAGGTGACCTATTATTTATTATGTTTTGTGTGCTGTTCAGCAATAAGATTGTAAACAAACCCGCTGAAACGGGAACTACACGAGTCTGGTGAAACAACCTCTTAAACCAAAAATGGTTTTCTTTTGTTTTGATAACACACATTTTAAATGATTTTCATTCCAAACCGCGTATTAATGGAGGCACCTACAGTAGGAGCAGGCGAATATAGCTAGTATATGATTGAAATGTAATTCTTCAGACTACAGTATTCAAACATGTTAAAATCGCAGTCTTCAAAATACCACTTCTAGAGACGCATGTCTGAACAATGTGCATCATTTGCATTAACAAATAACAACGTGATAAATCAAAAGAAGCGTTTTTGCACAATCCGTGATATTTAAGATAGTCCCTATAATTATAAAATGATTTCAAAATTACAGAAAAGCAGAAATCACAATTAGGTAGCTAAAATAATAGTCATTTATGCATCGATGATCAATTTGGCAACGAATTTATACTAGGGGAAAAAAAAGAAAAACGGGCGTTTAAAAAGTTTATTTTGTATCGAAATTGAATAAAATCAACCAATTTCCTATTTCCCTAAAGATAACATGACAGAGACAATTATTCCACTTTAATTGTTCATATAGGATTGTGTTTAAAGACATAACTGGAGAAGGGTATGGCGAACTGCTGTGAATGAGTAGTTGGATTATAGTATAGTGTAACTATAAGACAGCCCTGGATAGGAGACATCCTACTCACTGGACTGGCCTGAACTACCATGCTCACCACACTGGTCACATGCACTACGGTTCTGGCCAAATGAGGAATACTGCACTTGGTATTAGTACTGCATTACCGTTCCTTTAAAGAGGTACACTGCTTTTTATTCATTGTACATATTACCATCCAGTATAATAAACATGTTCAACAGCTAAACACATAACGTCACAATGACAATAGTAACAATAAGTTATGCTAACAAAACATAAAAACTAAAAAGCAAATAATAACTTCACAAATATTTATGAAAATGGGCACAATTCATTCATGTATAATCAGCACAAACATGTAAGAGTGAACTACCTGCACCTTCAGAACAGTCAATGTCTGGTATTTTCTTTTGGATGACAGAGGGGAAAAAAGAAAGGTGCAATTTAACTAAGAGTAAGTATTTGTTGGGTGTCGGGGAGTAGCTTATCTGTGGTGTTGGATAGAAAGATATCCGCGAAGACTTGTCACCTTCATTGTAACAGTACAGGCAGTCCACAGAGCTCTTACGACGTCATATTACACAGCTGATTCATTGACATTTAAATGGCACAAGGAGACCTTGTGAAGGAACCTCACGTTATCCTACAAGTAACATTTTTGGAGCAATAAATACAAAACAGGCATTCTGTGCAATTCCCATACGTCAACGATGCTGATTCAGTGACTCTTTGGCTCCATGTCTACATATGTGAGAAGACAGACAGAGAGCACCATGCATGTTGTCCAAGAACTGTGGAAAGCAGGCACCTATTCCCCTCCAGTCATTTCTCATGTCAACCCTTCTCATTTTTCTGCCATGGGTAGGAAAAGAGGAATGGTCGACATCCATAGCAACACAGCGTGTTCACAATGGGCAGCTGAATTCTCACTGGAATTAACGTTACGATCTGGCATTGCTTTCAGTTTCCTTGGGTATGAGATGCACATCAAACCAGTGCTTAAAAAAAATAAATAATAATAATAATAAAAAAAAAAACACACACAGAGCCACGTGCAGGATCTCTCGTGATCTTATGAGAGACATTCCAGTTAGCAAGTTCAGGAGAGCACCTCAGACTGCAAAAACCCACTTTGTTGCGAGGGGGGGGGGGTTCTGTACTCAAGTCGACAGCAACAGAGCTATAGAGGATGCAGAGCCTTCTTATTGCTTTAGTGTTTCTTTTGTGTACTGAACTTCTAAAAGCCAGCTAGGAGGCCATAGAGTCACATGAACAGAATGCTGAAAAGTCAATGGCGGAAATGAAACTGGGCAGTAAATTTTCTTTTACCCCTAGTTAGGACTTCGACACCTTGACGTGTCCCATTTTCATGAACAACCTTTCATTTTTCCAGGGTCTTCCAGCCTTTTATATTACATCTCATGTATCAAAAACATAAATAACTTATGTAGTAAATTCAGATGGCGTGGTCAGTTGTAGAGTTGGAGATGCATGCAATTCTCGGTGTAGGTTAGATCCTTGAGATCTATAATATGGACATTATTTAATTGCTTCACATACGCAACTGACAAGGAAAAACAATTTAACGGAAAAGTGTAATACATTAAGTGACTTAATTGAAATGCATTTCCTTGGGTCCCCCACATGTTCTGGGAACATTAAACTTTATCACACAAAGAATAGTCCTTCAAGCCATGATGTCACTGACCAAAAGTTAATAGACTATTGTCTCTCCCACTTTGGGGGCTGGGTAGGAGCAGCCATGCAAGGACTATCATGGAGATAATTCCATGTCTACCTAAGGAAATGACTGAAGACAAAAAGCATGACCATGACCACCATCCTCTTGTCCCTCTGTGGAGGACATCAATCTGTCAAGCCATCATATTTAACTCATTAGTTCCCAGGGCAAAGGCTGATGCATGTCGGTACCCTAAATCAGAGGCCCACAGGGTCGTGGTCTTGGTGGGGGGTCAGACTGGTTGAGGTCAATCCAGAGTAGAAAAGAAAAAAAAGGCAACTGTTCCAGGACTGTTAATGTGGAAAATGGACCAACAGCATTAAAAAAGCCAAGGGCATTGGGTGCTTCTATCATCAACCTCTGATCAAAGAACCTGCCTTTATTTTACACAAACACTTTAAATCTTACACCCTTTTAAAGTTAGCGAGAATACTGTACTTTTTTCCCCTTTGGAACATTTGGCCCAGGTTCCTACCTAAGTAGACACTGTCCATCAATGCTAAAAGGTTGGCCTGTGGGTTTGGGGAGGGGGAGGACTGGGGCTCAGAGGTTGAGAGTCGGGGCGAGTTATATAGCGAGGGGTCCATGACAGGGCGAGCTGTCGGACCCTTTCTCCTCCAGGTTAATGTTGCTCGTGGAGACATGCTGAGTCAGGGCTTGTCGTCCTTGTTGGCTGAATCCCAGGTACAGTAGGCCTGCGGAACATGGGAACCCAGCATGAACCGTGAAGGGAGCAGAGACAGAAAGTGACAGCCTTGTGGCTGATAGCTGCTGCTTTAAGCTTTGCACAGACTGGGCTTTGCACGCATAAATCTGTGGAGATGCTGCAGTACCTTACAGCAAAAGCACCAGTTTGACAGCAGCCTTTATCTCAAATCTTTAAACTCTTCGAGCAGTTCATGATGGAAGCCATTTCACATTGTGGCATTACTGCAATGCTGGCAGGAAAAGTAATATTTTTAACACACAGCAATAATACATCCCGTGGCTGGGAAGTAATAGGATTAACTCAGACTGCTCTCCAAGCAAATAAACCTTTAGCTTTTACATAGCTTATAAAGCAAAGATTATGGTGAAAGAATTTAACTAGTGTCAAAAAGACCTCCACAATAGTAAACCCCTAAGCTACCCCCAGCATTCCTTCCCATTTTGATCAATCATGGTGTGTTTTTCACACAATCAGTTACGGGGTTCAAGTTGTTCAAGTTCATAATTAAAGGTGCAAAAACTATGGACACATTTACAGAATGAGAATAGTGAGAAATCAATTAAATTTTCACATCTCATTACCTTAAAAAACAGGCTATTAATTATGTCTCAGCTGGCATCATACCAGGGGTACCCAATAAAAAAATGCAATGATATGGGCACATAGACACATATCCAAAGCAAATTCTCATATTGCTGTGTGGCTGTTTAAATATTACATAAACACAGATGGAAGAGGGGTATCACATCATGGGGGGAACAGAAGCTCTACTGGCAATGATACATGCAAAATAAACATTCCTAAAGATAAAAGCACCCATCTCATGCACAATTTCTAAGTCTTAACTTCATATTTTCAGGAAAAGTGTGAAATACAATGCAGAGCAGCCCCCGTGACTAAGCACATTTTCTAGTTTGCACATTTTCTTGAGCGCTACAGTGCCATACCTATTCCTCAACGTGAACAGGACACGAGTCCACGGCTGTCCGTCCCCCAGAAAGCAAACGGAGAGAGGGAGGTACACAGAGAGAGCAGAGGAGGACAGAGTGATGAGGTAGAGAGACAAAGGAGATAACACAGCACACTTAGATCACGCACAGGGACAGCCTATTGGTAATGACTGCAGAGTGAAGATTGGTGCAGATCATGGGGGGGGGGGGGGGGCTGGAATAGAAGGGGCAGCATCTCTGCAGTTAGTTCACACATTTTCACCATGGTGTGCTTCACAGAGGTGAACGATCACCTGCCCTACAGGCCACAGCCAGCCAATCAGTTACTTCCCCACTACTATTAAAGGACGATTCTCAGAATTCATATTTCATCTATTTCCCATGGACGACAAAAAATAAACAAACAGGAAAACTAGGTACATTAAGGAATCTGTAAGGTTGATTGATAAAAATGACAAAAACTACAATAAACACATTAAAAAGCAAACATTAATGGAAATGTGTTAATTTTACACCTAAATTTTAATAAATGTATCAAGGGAAAATTTCAAAATATCATTTGCCGCCTTTTTTTGAATTTGTGTCCTTTAACATCAGATATGTTCCCCAATCACGCCTAACAACACTTAATTTGAATGAAGCATTTTCATTTTTATATAGGGGCTTCTCCAAGGCCCCTCCTCAGAAATTGGAATTATGATGAAATTAAAGTAAGTCACACGTACTTTTTCCACGTTAGTCAACCCGAGCTACTGCGGTCGGGTTGGCGTAAAACCGACTGCTTGCCTCCACTTCACATAAACATTTTATTCTGGGATCACCAGAGACCCGGCTAGAAAAAGTAACAGTTTTATAGGTGAGATTTTCAGGTGGTAAAACTCAGCCGCGCAGCCACTGTGAAGCAGAGCCATTAACGAGTGCGGAAGAAACGTCCTGACAAAGACGGGGCCGCGCGGAGAAAGGAGGCCGCGCATTCCATTCCAGCAGCAACTACAATGAGCCGCCAAGGGCCAGCTCTTTATTGGGAAGGTGAGGGGGGTGGGGGGGGCAGCTGAGAAATAGAGAAATAAAATGCTGAAGGTGGAGCAAAGCCACTTGGAGCTGGCAGACACTGAACATGAACTTGACTCTGGGATGGACCGAACACAGACACCCAGATACAGAAAGTCACACGGAGAACACAAACTTTCAGTAGAGAGGGGTGGGGGAGGGGCACGATACTACAGACTGATTCCTAACGGGGGCAGAAAGATAGCAATGAATAGAAAAATAGGATTTGGGAACACAATGGGTTTTATTTTGCAACAACGTTTATATTTGTAACTTCAAAAATTGATCCCCTTCCCTAATATACCACTTCCCCCCACAAAGGAGTGGATTGAGTACTGAAATTAATGTCAAATTTTCTATGTGGGCTTAGATGACATCAAATATGCAAAACCCCCAATGTTCCTCAGGCTATATCTAAGGTAGATACACACAGCCTCACAGGCACTGAAGGCAATCCAATCAGGAGGGAAGCATATCACATTACACAATGCTTAATTTTTGTAGGGACTAAGTGTTAAATTTATCCTCCCCATTCTACAGTGCAACTCGGCTCTCATCCATCCAGGTTCCCCTTCTTCTCAGGAAAGTCCATGTTCAAGAGGTCGCCACTCACCAGTGAATCGGCTTTCAGGACACTGCTCATTGTCCAGCCCTGTCAAGCAGGGGGTGTCAGACCGGCCCTGATTGTTATTGTCAAACTCTGGACAAGGCATCTCGCTTCTCCTTCGCCCACCTGCAAGCGAGGTCAGAGGTTAAACAAGAGCAGCCGGCCACAGCGGGATGGACGGGGAGGCAGGCAGCACAGAAGAGGCTGAGCGAACACGAGGACAGGTGGGAGGCCAAGACAGACGCACGACATGAGCGGCCACGCAAATGGTGAGGGCACGTGTGTTTGTGTGGCTGAACCAATATCCACATCTACAACTGAGAAAATCCATATCGATTTTCCAGGTAATCGCCATTCTCTCTCCATATGTATAACCTACCGCCCCAAAGGATTAAAAGTCGTCTTTCAAGATACAGTTGGATCCATATAAACAGGTGCATTCAGAAAGGTCACGGGCCTGAATCCCGATCTCGGCGTTTCAAGCAAATGCAATTGTGTGCGTGAGCAAAGCAAAAGGCTGCTGCATGAGCACTACAGCACGGTAAGAGTGTGATTAATGGGGGCGGCAGGGACAAACACTCAATAAGCCTCTTAAAACACCTCAAGCCAATCCCTGAGGCCAGTGTGAGGGGCCTGAAGCAAACCAGGGACGAGCAAGACCGACGCTGCCTCGTGTACCACAGCTGAGCTATGAGGTACTCTGACACGAAAAAGGTGTGCACAGCAAAGTACTCCAGGTAGTACTCTGGTTAGTACTCCAGGTAGTACTCTGGTTAGTACTCTGGTTAGTACTCTGGTTAGTACTCTGGTTAGTTCTCCGGTTAGTACTCCGGTTAACCTGGCCTATGCCGGAGGGTGAGAATAAAGACATACTGCTATGCACACTGAAGTAAACAAATAATTATTTCATCCATTTTAAATTGTTTTTTTGCTGTGAACAGTCTGACACTGCCGGGCATTAGTCCTTGTCACGTCCTCATGATGGTTTGAGGACTATAAGCTTATGTTCAAACGCTGTGGAAAATGCATCCATTTTTGGGAAGGCAGCGCCACCTAGTGAAAGAATAATTAACATGACAGGCCAAAACAGGATTCCAAGGCCATTAATGATGATGTAACCGATTTCACATAATTACGTTATAGGGCATTTTTAATCGGATCATGTGGAACAGTACTCGGTTTCAACAAAGCGTTTTCATTTTCAGTTCAGGGCTTCTCCGAAGGTCTGTAACTGAAGCTATGTTGAAATTCAAGTAAGAGCAAATTCAGAGTCTTTCCCATTTTGAGGAACATAAGCTGTCCTTGGTATAAATCAAACTACTGTGGAGAGCTCACTGAGTTCACACAAACATGTTATTTTGGAATTATCACGGGCAAGACCAGAATAAGTAACAGCATCACACCTGTCATTGCTCTTTTATTTGGTTAAATGACTTGTTTAAATACTTTCCACAGTTTACAAAAACTACATTCTGAAGCCACATGGTAAAAACTTCATGATTGGGAAGGTACTTTTTATTTATTGCATTTTATCTGCAATAAATTGTAATGTCAAAAATAGGGTTTTTCCTGATATAATGACATTTTCTCAACTCCATAATTTGGTGAATGTGTCTCAAAAATTAAACCTCAAATGGTTACATTAAACCTGAAATGGTTACATTAAACCTCGCCCGCTGCCTGGGAATCGATTTAAAAGAAGACAGCAACAGGACATTTGGATGGCCATGGCATGGCCTCGATAATCAGCAGGAAAAAAGAAAAACAAAAGACGAGGCACTGCAAGAGGAATAGTCAGTCTAGCAGGAAGTAAAACAACCAATCACTGATGAAGGTTTATAGTTACCCGGATCCTGGGTGGGTGAGCAGTCTTCTTCTGTGACATCATTACCCTGAGAGAAGCAAATGTCCAATCAGATCAGTCGGTTCTACACAGAAAGCATAAATCCCGATAGCAATAATGGCTGTGAAAAGAATAGGGCTCAGATTTACCTCAGAGTCCTGCTCTTCTGCAAGAGCGGCGGCAAAATTTTGCTCCTTCACATCAAGGGGTGTTTCCTGCATCAGAGCTCACAATGAACTGAACTGTCACAGGAAGTGACGATACGGATGACATGCTGTCCAGAGCTCACAGGCACACAGATGCGTGGCTCCGCCCTCTCACCTCGCCCTCCTGCTGAGATGGCCCCCTGCTCTCACTGGAGTTCTCCAGGGCCTCCGCCTCAGCCCCGGGCAAATAGGAGCCTGATATGGAGGACATGGTGTCGGTGCTGAGCTGGGAGTGCTGGCTCTGTGAGGACGCCATCGACATCACGGACTGGGCCAGACTGCTGCTAACAGGATCTGGGCCCAGAAGAGACAAGCAGCCAAATGGGGCAGGTGGGGTCCACGTGCAGTCTGTGCACCACCACCCCCCACCCCCCAAATATGACCCAGTACCAGTACATTACAGGACTACAGCATGACGCCCAATCATACCTTCAGGGGAGGTGATGGTGGAGGACAGGGGCGTGCCAGTGCAGGACGACCGGTCAATAGCTCCAGAGGACGACAGGGTGAAGTTCTCGCTGTCTGGTGTTACGCCACACTGCACACAACACGGCAAATGCAACAAACCTTCGGTACAGCTGGCTACTAATTTAATTTTGAAGACAAATATAATATAAATACCAGTCATCCATCCATCATCCAACTGCTTATCCTGCTCAGAGTCACTGGGGGTCCTGGAGTCTATCCCAGGCAGCACAGGGCACAGACCTGGGGGGTGGGGGGTTACCCTGAACGGGATGCCATCCCAGAATACACACCCACTATGTGCCCCTAAAAGCCCGGCATTTGATTGAATGTTTTCCTTAGCATTACAGGGATGGCATGGTGGCTCGATAAATATCACTGTTCCTTCTCACCTTCAGGGTTGGGTTTGAATCCCGCCTCTGCTCAGTGTGTGTGGGATTCTTCCCGGATTTCTTACCCTAGTCCAAACACATGCCGTCAGGCTAACCGGAGTTTCTAAACCGCTCATCAAGGCGGCCAGTGCTTAGGCGGCCAGAGGCAGACTGGCATCACTTCAGGTCTCATTATTATCCAATGACATGTTTTGAATCATGAGTGACAGTAGGGGGAGCACTCCAGGGCCAATCAGCTTTCAGCTGGGGCCAGTGCCCCGCCCCTGTATAAACCCTGTGCTGCATGCCACTGGCTCCACGCCACCCTATGATCATGACTAACATAAGCAGTTAGAAGACGACTTTACCACAACACTCCAAAGCAAAAGAGAAAATCTCCTCCATTCAAATTTTGCAAGCTTTTTAGAAGCCGAATTTTCTAAATAAAAACTATACTAAATATTGCATGTGAACAGAAAAGCTTGGCTCAGCAGTCAGCACTTTCACACATAAAGACTTAAAGTTTTACGTTTACTGAATGGACATGTAAAAAAAAAAAACACGGAATCCTGGTTGATTGACAGTGAACAGGCATCTGCAGAACACCTGCAGAACACCTGCAGAACACCTGCAGAACACCTGCAGGGGTAAATCCCAAACAGATGTAATGCTGCGAATGCTACAGCGCGCTCCTGAAGTGGGTCACTGACTCCCGCCATGTCGCTACCTCTTGCTGACCGACCGCCATCTTCCTCCGACACGCCTGCACCTCCGACTCGCTACATGACTTCTCGTCGTCCTCTTCTGGCAGCACAGAGGAATTCTGGGAGAGGGACCTGCCAGGTTCACGGGATACATCAGCACTGGGACCAGCAGGACACGGCTTTGCCAAAATCAGCCTTTATTTGGAGATTTAAGCTAGTTGAAACATTTTCTAAAGTTGTCCTACCCTACTTGCAGGGGCGATTCTAAAATTTAAGATGAAGGGCATAAGGTCAACTAAAATTCATACAGAAGGACCAATCTCATTATTAGCCAATGACATGTTTTGAATCATGAGTGACTGTAGAGGGAGCACTCCGGGGGCCAATCAGCTTTCAGCTGGGGCCAGGACCCCGCCCCTGTATATAACCCTGCCCACTCACTAAAACTCATTTTCCAAGCAGGTATGTTTTTTTCAGATGAATATAAAGTAGGAAACAGAATCAGACAGTGAAGAAGAAAAACTCACTTAGAGCCGCTCTTCTTGAGCTTAAGACCCGGAGTGGGGTCCAGGTATCGCTCAAGGGGGGAGAGGGACCGCGCAGTGGGGGGGTGAGTCTCAGTGCCGTAGGACAGCAAGGTCCCAGAGACGTGGCCCGGGGTCAGATTCGGCAGGGGGGGAGCCGATGTGGAGGGGCTCAGCGGGCCGTTCAGGGCCTCCAGCAGGGATACGGCCTCGTACCCAGGGGGTATGCGCTCCGAGGCCTGGGGACGAGGCACAGTGTCAGACACGGACGTCCTGGGAGCTAGAAGGCACGGTGGTAATGGCACCGCAGAGATGCTGCATACCGAATGCTCCTCCGAGTCAGAGGTCTGGGACGTGATGACAGGATTGAATCCTGTGGGCGACAGCGGACTCAGCTTCTTCCGCATGGCTCGGATCTGCAGCAGAGCTCGGAATGCTGGGACAAAAAAAGGGGGACTGACAATAAGGCCAGGAATGCAAGGGAATCACCATTTTCCAACCGTGGTCATGGCGCTGATTCTTTAGAGCGCTTTGCGCTTCCCGCTTTGGCCGCAAGCCCTGCAACGCCAAGGCGAGGCACGGTGCAGAGCGCAGCCCCGCGGGTGGCGCAGCAGAAGATGCAAAGCGGGCATTTTGCAGGAAGGCGACTGGCAGGAGAGGCCTCTGGCACGGGTCCTTACGCAGTCGACAGATGGGGCAGCAGTTGGCCTGGTAGCGCAGCGTGTCTGCGCAGGCGTTGCAAAGGCACAGGTGTCTGCACGGCAGGATGAGGGTGTCACGCACGTCCGAGAGACACACCACACACTCTGCGCTGTTGTCGCTGATCTCGTCGTCCGCTGCCTGGGAATTGATTTGGAAAAAAGGCAACGGGATATTTGGATGACCGTGACATGGCTTTGACAGTCAGCAGGGGAAAAAAAACAATAGACTTTACCTTGTTTTCATGGCTGTTGTACTTGTTCTCGATGCCATAAATCTCCTGTAGGAGGTAACTGACTCCATCAACCTGGAGATTTCAAAGACGACAGGATAAGGGCCACATAAGTGCATGGTATTTCATTGTGTAGTTATAGTGCTGTTAGAAATAACCAAAAATTTAGCTAAATAAATCCTGTGTCAGGCATGGAAGCTCCAACTTGCACACGCGAATTTCAATATAACTAAATAGGCAGTGGTCCAGGAGGATTCATACATACAGTGCATGAAAAATAAGATTTTATCACTAAAATAAATGAAATTTATTGGCTGCACAAACCATTTATTTAATATCTTTATGCTCCAGAATGACAGCAATCACATGATTAGCCTGGAAAAAGAATTCAAAACAACCCTTTCAAAGGTCATTCTGCTGGATTTAAAAGTAATTGTAAACCATTATAAATTGCTCTCTTCTATTTGGTATATTTCAGATTAGTGGGGATAAATAAAATCCGCCGCGTCGGCATTCCACACAAATTGAATATAAAGCCTCCTCCCAATTTCCTTCGAATGATGTGAAATATTTAGCGCAGCGCACTGGCTGGAGCGGGCTGGCTGAGGTCCTGTTACATTTGCCCCGCTGTCCGTGTCCGCTTCTCGTGTTCAACTTATGTTACTGAAAGGAGACGACAAGCACGGCCGGCATTGAAAGAAGCCGTCGCCGCTGCCTGCATCTCACCGGCCTGACAGCTGCCTACCCAGAATGCACCAGAACAATGACACAAGACTGTGGGACTCACCACTTGTTTCTGCTTCAGGGGTTTCACACAATAGCTGCCATCCATGTGCTGTGGAGAGAATAACTCGCTTTAAAAACAAGTATTAAGGAAAGTTACACTGTTGCCATATTTCTGCTTTTAATCAGCACTAAGGTGTGTTTTTTTTTTTTTTGCTTCACTGAACGTTACACCTCTAAGTCTTACTCAATTTTTTTTAAGCGCTCTCTTTAAACAATTCCTTCATACATGATGCAGTGAACAGCTCCACCACGGCCCACTTCTTACCCTCTCGAAGGAGGCCAGCAGCACATGGGAGTGGCCTAAATGCTCTAAAGAACACAACAAAACAAAGAAAGGGAGCATTAAATGCTGAAGAAGGGCTTCAGCCCCTGCAGGCCACCACTGCTCAGCAGCTGGCTTGCAGAGACGCCGTAACGGCTGTCTCATGGCTGCCTTCTGAAAACGAGAACGATGAGCTTCTCTCTGGGATTAATAACATGTCAAACTCACCTTCGCCTTCATCTACCACGGCCTGCACCACCATGGGGTAGACGTCTCTGTCCATGTCAAAGACAAGCTACAAAACAACAGATTTGGGGCGTCAAACTTACACTGTCAGAATAAAGAGTGCCAATTTGTACCTTAACTTGTTACATGGGGCTGTACCCTTAAGGGTCTGCCAGTTGTACCCTTAGCTGTAGGTAAATGTACCTTTTAAGATACAGAAATGGACTACGAGGAACATTTTTGTACCATTGGGGTACATTAATGTTGTTTGTATCTTGGGGATGTTCCTCAGAGTCCATTTCTGTACCTTAAGTTAGACTAAAAGGTACATTTACCAACAGGTAGGATACAGCTGGCAGACCCTACACTGGGGTACAGCCCCTGTGACAAGCAAAGGCACAAATTGGTGCTCTCTTTTTATGACAGTGCAGCATTTCCTTTTCAGACAGCTATACATGCGTGTAACAGTCCACGCCCCTAAATGTTTCACTTTCTTAAAAAGCGGCAATGAGTAAATGGGCAACCCTTTATCGCTTTTTAGTCAGCACATAGTTCCTGCCTCAATTTCTAGCAGATTCTGCAGCATGAATGATGCACATCCCACAATTCCCTGTACCTCTTCGTCGCTCCACTCTGAGAGGTTGACAGAATGGGAGGGCAGACAGAAATGCTGGCAAACGCCCCTCTTAAAGTGCACCGTCTCAGATTGCAGTGAGCTGTCCTGGGGCAGGTACCTGCATTCAAACAAAACATACACGGATGAACATAATGACAGAAGTCTTCAGTACTACATTAATTTCACACACACCACCTGTTAATTTACATTTATTTCCCGCACAATACTCCATTTGCACTATGTGTCCTGTCTTTGCACTTTGTCTTGCACTATATGTCTGTATCTGTGCACTGTATGTACGTCACTGCTGTGAGTGACAGAATTTCCGCCTGAGATCGATAAAGGACAGCCCAGTAAAAGCCCAGAACGTACAGTCAGGTGTGCTGACGTGTATTGTGAGTGCGTGCCCAGAGATGGACGGACATCATATCCAGGGTCTTCCCTGCCCTACGCCTCATGCTTCCTGGGACAGGCTCCAGTTACATTCGGTTCACGGTGACCCTGAACCGTATTTATGGATAATGGAAGGATATGATAGACTCGGTGTATATTATAGATTACAAGATACACCGGATGGTCAGTGCCCAAACATCAGCAATGAAAACAAACACCGTCCCACATTTCCAGAAATCTATTTATTATAGCTTTAGCTGTTAAGATGTGTTACAATACAACATCATTGCTTACAAATACTGCTTTTGTTTTAAATTGATACCAATTTTAGCCTATAAAATGGGGGGAAACTAACACCCCTAGACAAAGCAACCGACAATCGCTTAATGAAGAATTAACATGACGTGAGGGATGGATAAGCAGGCATGAAGGGACACTTCAGAAGGTCTGAGGATGAGCCCATCTCTCAGTAGCACAATCAGCATAAATAATCAGCACTGGAACTGAATGATACTTAAGGGAAAGACATAAGGATCACAGTGTTTTTCATGGTTCTTTGTATAAAATATGTCTGGCTATAAAACAGAGACAATGGGGGATCTCAGGGGCAGATACAGAGGCTTAGTTATGGTCCTTTTAGGGGCAATAACAAATGAAGAAGTCTAGCTTCTGGTGCCCGTACTCACATGGGAACACCGTTGTGGAACTCCTCGATGGCCTGGTAGAAGATGGTGATGGCGACCTGAGCGTCAGCGTCGAAGGTAAACTCCACGTTGTAGCTGGCGGGACTCTTTCCCTCCTCATCCCGGAGCAGCTTCATGTCCTCGCTGCACCTGCAATTCCGACGATGAACGTCAAATGCCACGCCGTTCAGTACATTACAGCAGTGTTTCCCAATCCGGTTCTTGGGGACCCCGAGGAATTTCACATTTTTGCTCCCTCCCATCCCCCAATGGGGAGCTGCGAAGGAGCCAAAATGTGCACTGTCTGGTAGGGAGCAAAAACATGGACCGTCTCAGGGTCCCCAAGGACTGCGTTGGGAAACACTGCCTTAGAGCATGGATGCACAATGAGAAGCACAATGAAACTTAGAACAACACATTCATTTGTTATATACTGGTTTCATGTGAAATACTTCCTAAACGACGATTTCCGTATCCTACATATTCTACCCTTAATTTTAGTCCTCTTCCACTGTCAGATGGCCTCCTGTGCCATCTGACATCGGCTGCCTGACACTTTCAGCCAACCTGGAAGCGGATGACATCTGACGGGGACCCAGGTGATTCACACCCGTCAAGTCACACCACGCTTTACAAGGTGAGAAACATTTGGAGCAGGAGAGCTCACCACACACTGGAACAGCAGCAAGCAAGTCTGCGAGCGTCTGACAGGTAAATGGAAGCGCTGTGTATAGCAGACAGCCCAAAAAAAACACACTGGGCTATTTTAAACCCTCCTTCTTCAGGAGGATGAAAATCCAATTCTGTTCTGCTTCTAGAGAATGTCTGTCAGAGGCAAGTGCATTGTCCTACTGTAAAAACCAGCCTGTGTAACCCTAATTAATTTTTTTAATACTTCACATTCTTGATTTTTAAATTAACTTAATCTAGTTTATCTTTGCTCCCTAAATATTCATCGCTGGGTAATCACACACATTAAGTTTCATTGTAACTTGTTACAGTGACAATAAAAGCATTCTAGTTCTAATGATTTGCTCGCTATGCTCCTAGATATCGTACATTGCATAGAGGTGCATCTACCCTCTACTGTATCCCTGAGCGAGGAGCAGCCAGCGGCACCCACCTGACTAATCTCAGTGTGTCTTTGCGGATGTTGATGAGGCTGCGGAGAGTCTTCACGGGCTCATGGGGGGGTGGGGCAGCGTACGGGAACTGAGAGCAAAAAGCAGGAAAAAAACAGCAAATAACACTTCGTCATCCAGCTTCCGTCAGAACAGATTAAGGTAATAAAGGCCGGAGGCGGAGGGAGGAACCAACAACGCGCTGATTAAAAGGACACACAAAATGCACATGTTATTGTGTTTGTTTACTCTTCCATTGAAAGAGAACCCGTGAGTAAAGAGGGAATTAATCTCCGGCATGAAATCCAGAGGCAGGAAGTGGTGAAATCAGACCCAGGGCTAAGAGCCGCAGGGAGGGAAGGTGCGGGGTGACCTCAGTGGGGTGACACTCCTGAGGCTTAAAAGCCCAGACACCAGCAGAACTCTAGCCGTGTGAAGAACTCCGTTTGTCACCGTGCCATGGGCCACAGTGTGGCTCAGGCAGTCCTCTGCCACTCCTGTGGCCTGTGTCAGGCTCTCCTTTGTTTAAGGGGAGAGAAGAATGAGCTTTGCAAAAAAAATAAAAACACACCTCGGGAAGGACGGCTTAAATCGCCTAGGAGAGGGAAGCGTTTGACAGGCTAATCCGCCCGTCAGAGAGCGAAGGCAAAGCACCCTGGGAGCGCTAAACTGTTCTAATTTGCCGTAGCAGCAGGCCATGTCCCAGGGTGGTCAGGTGATTAGCATGTTGCTCCGACACTGAGAGGTGCGTAACCGAGGAGACGCAGTCATCCTGCCGCTGTCCCCGCTAACGGGCTAACAGCCCTGCAAAAAGAACACCCACAACTATTCAGATTTATGCAACTCAACCAAACTCAACCAAAACAACAGGAATATCTTACTAAACCCTCTGTAATTAAAATAAACTGCTTCCGCTGCCACTCTGTTCTCAGCTGTCTGTGTTACTGATTAACTCAAGGGTTCAAATTTATAATTTCAAAAAAAAAAAGAAAAAAAAAGCCATACATGACCAGCTCAGGGTACAGGGGCAGCTAGAAGAACCAAGTTCCATTTTTAATGGCCCTGTTTACATATCGCCTTCTTCCTTCCCTTCTCCGCAGTAACGTTTTTCATGGATTTAATTAAAGGACCTAAAGAAATGAGAGGAAATATATAATATAATGTTTGTGCCCTCCATCCTGGGGATGTGGGTACATGGGTATCAGGAAAAGGAGATGTTCAGGCCCATGGTCTAACGAGTGGCGAGTCGTGTATCGACAAGGGAGAGAAACAAACAAGCCTCTGGAGGCCTCAGTGGCAGAAAAGCAGTCAGTCTCTTTCTGACTACAGATCAAAGCGCAGTGAACACCTGCCCTTTTCTGCCGCAGGCTACCCCCCCCTGCCCCCCCCGCCCCCCATACAGAAGCTTAACATGCGAGCTGCGTACAGTCCCACGTAAGCCGAAGCCTAAATCTGAGCCACTAACAAACTGCCTGCTTTAACTGAGAGGAAGCCGATGGGGGAGGTGAAAGCATCCAGGTCTTTCCGTGGCATTCTGTATCCGAGCTGATAATTGAGCTGCTATGGAAATTAGCAGATAAATGAAGGCCCAGACACACAAGACCTGACATGTAGACCCTTCCCGCTGCTGATGCCGTGCCACTGCTGTACCTAAGAGAGGCATCTGACTCTCCAAATGCTGATGGGGTGGGGTTCTAGTTTAAACACCAACTCTACGCACAACTGTCTGAATCGTCACTGCCTACCCTCACCTCCACGCAAGAGATTCGGAAAAAACGTGGGATTCCAGGATCCACTGAGCCAAAAGATGACCCGCTGTGCGCAAAGCACATCCAGGCTCTCATTTTGTTTCTTTAAATAGACGACAGCCTTCCCAAAGCATGCAATTTTCTCAGGGTGACAACACCGGGCGAGCCTGGGCACGGGACCGCCATGCCATCGCAGGGCCCGAGACGTCCTTCATGCTCCAGTGCTCCAGTAGCAGGAAAACGGGCTTTCCTAGCAGGTGCCAAAAAAGTTCCTTCAGCTAGTAAATAGCACACATTTCATGGGAGGAATCACAAAAGTAGGTCGATCGCATATTATTTGTTGAATAGGGAGTAGGGAACGGAGATAATTTAATGTAGATTTGGAATGAATACAAAGCACATTAAAAGCTCAAAAGGGGAAAAATTAATTTCACGCGCATTTGCAATGAGCTCTGCTCCCAAACTGAGGTCACTTCTGTTCACCCTCACCTCCCAGTTACTCACTGTTGCAAAAACCTGAATAATTTCAGACCTGGTGTTATGAATGTCACAAAACACAAAGAAAATATGCATGCAGTATAGGAGAGCTAGGCAGCCATGGCATGAGAACTTCAAAAACAAACAAAAAAAATCACTATGAATTGTATTGGGGCAGAATGAGCTGCTGGCAAACAGATCTGTTTGTTTCATTGTGTTAAAAGCCCAGTGCCGACGTCCCACAACAAATCTGAGAATCCCGCATGTCTATATAGCTGGCAGAATTAGAATACAGAGGATGAGATAGCATGGGAGGAGGAAAGTGCCTTTAAAAGCATTGCAACTTTACTGGATGCCAAGGCACCCATTCAGACAGATGGGTCAGCCTCCCATCTAATGGCCTCCTTGATAAAAAAATAATGGGACATTGTTGGGAAAGGATTTTAAATCCTAAACATTTACTAACATCCTTTCTCTAGATTCTATTACACAATAATTCTCCTATATTTCTAAGAGTAATTTATTGTAAAGTCTCTATCAGTCACATGAAAAGGACTTGTGTTCAAAATTATTCTACTGACTGCAACCCTAGGCTGTAGATCAACTCCGGTCCTGGAGAGCTACCGTCCAGTAGGTTTTCTATCCTACCCGGCTTCTGATGAGCCACACCTGTTCTCAGTTAAATACTAGGAACAGGTGTGGCTCATCAGAAGCCAAGTGGGACAGAAAACCTACTGGATAGTAGCTCTCCAGGACCGGACTTGGAGACCCCTGCTGTAGAGACATCCCAATGTTTGGATTTGTATTGTACTATGATCCAGGGCTTGGCAACATCCAGGATATACAAAGAATACAAATATGATCTGCAGGTTTCCCAATATCATACTCACGTCAGTTTCCAATAAGACGTCTCTGTTCACAATTTAACAAATGTATCAATTTGAATCGTCTCTAAGAAAATTACTTTTTTTAAAATGGATGGTGACGCAGTGGCTCAGTGGGTGGCACTGCAGGGGCTCGACTCCTGCTTTCCTCCCATGTGCGTGGAGCTGCCATGTTCTCACTATGTAGCATGTGCTTCCACCAGATACATCCCTTGCACCTGTGGGCTTCCTCACTCAGTCCAAAGACGTGCAGTTTGAATAACATCCATCCGTCCGATTTCTATACTTGCTTTCCCTATGCATGATTGTGGGGGTCCGGAACCAACCCCGAACCTTATGGGCTTTGCAAGATGGGGTGCCAACCAGTTTGAATAACATACGGCTCTAAACTGCCCACTGCCAATGGTTTTGTGTATGGATGTGAGCTCTACAAACGACTGGCATTCTATCCAGGGTGCACCCCTGTTGTGTCTCCTGTGTTACATGGGATAGGCTCCAGGCCCCTCCTATGACCCTCACCAGGATAAGTGGGTGGGTGGGTGGATGGATGGATGGATGTTTAAAACTGAAACATACAATCAGTTGCCGATATACTTCCAGTAAATAAAGAGCTGCTTTTTTCCCTCTAGTACATTTGTATTTGTCATATTCTATGTTCCAATTACTCATTTTGTCATCTGTAATATAGTCAATGGAGTGTGAAGCTTTACAAATCTTTATTAATTTCTTAATCCCTTTACTGAAAAACATCAATATGTCTTTCAGCCAGGCAGCATAATTTCACAGGGCTGTTGCTTTCAGTAACTGAACATTTGTCCTGTGCTGAGACACACACACTGCAGATGCAAACAGCAATGACGCCTATATTGCAACATCCCACGTCTGAGAAAGGCCATTTGTCAACAAGCAGTTGATTGTTACTCTGTAGATGCTCACGTTTACCAAATAACACCCCTGCACTTAATGCACCAGTATGGGAAACACAGGAAGAAGGGCTGACTTCTGGAAGAGCAGCACGGGACTGACATCTCATCGATAACATGCGCATGACACTGCTGAAAAAGCCATTAAACTCCACGGCTGACAAATCGATGAATCCTATCACAAAAAGAAAAAAAAATTACACAATCAATCAACTGGAGTATCCTGTCCGTTCGTAACCCCCGCATGGCCTGAGACGACTTGACCCTGATGGAATCAGACAGAATGGCCGACAGGTGAAGGAGCACCTACACACCGCTACTGGTCTGTTGCCAAGGAAATTCAGGTCTGTGTTTTCCCCGAAGAGGTACCCTTCTGGGTGAGTGGAGTCAAACTTTTCTCCTCCCATGATGAAATGGCTGGCAAAGTAACTACCTGTAAAGGAGAGAGAGAGTGGTAAGGACAGTGATCGAGCAAAGAGCATGTAAGGTCATGGTTAAGGACATGTAATTGTATGCTTGGGGTGTATATTTGGGGTACTGTTTCCGGCAGCGTATATTTTTAGTAGCTTTTACGTGCTGCTACATTTCACTCCACCCATGACTTTTCGGCCTCCGTGAATCACCCCTCTTTTGTTACAAGCAAAGCTGTGTGCACTTATAAACTGCATCGAATGTGTTAGTACAAAATAAATAAATGCATAAATAAGACCCTGTTTGTGATCTGTGTATGCAATTGGTCCTGGGTTTACTTTCAGTAGTATTACAATACATTCTGGCACTGCTGCTAGTTCCCCACAGCCTGATAATTGACATCTTATCTGACATAAATGACATAACAACTGACCTAAACGAGCACTACCAGCTATACAAGCCTGTGTCGTAATGAAACTCGTTACTGATCAGTTATGTCACCTAGCATGGCTGCAGTTTTTTTACCCTCCAGACTACCATTCAGCTGTGCACACCTAGCAGGTACCTTTATGTAATCCATAATAGATGGGCCTCTCTGCCATAAGCTTTCCCTTCTGCACAGCTGAATAATTCAGTGCTGAACTCAGGAGGTCAGGCTATCCTGTGCCAGTGGCGCGCTTCACCTGTGCTCAAATGAGCTTAATCTTTAGGGTGAACACATGGAGAACATCTACTTGTTAAGATATAAACCTGCAGAACACAGTAATTAATATTTATATTGTACGAAACATGGTAGATGATTCAGTCACTAAAGCATACTGTCATAATCAATGTTCAATATCATGCATATTCTTTAATATTTTTATTTTGTTTTTTAATTTTGCTGCATCCTCCACACTTACACAAATATTTTATGCGTTACTTATCAATAAGGGGACACCATCCGGGTTTAATTGCTTTTGGTAGACACTGAGATCCTGATCCTACTCTTGATAGGTGGAGACCCTTGAGGGGCTCCCTATCATACCCTGTACAACCAAAACGAATTATTTTACACATGCGATTCATGGTAAGATAACGATTACTATTTTTCAAGCAATATATCCCAAAAATCAATTAACAGCATTCGACTACACAACTGTCACGGTTTCCTTAAAATATCCGTAATGTAACGTAAATGTTATATATGCGTTTACGTACACATGCATGCAGTGACACGAAGCGTAGCGCGAACAAGCAGTAACGTTACGTATATAAAGCAGGTACAGTGCGCTCATATTACGATTCATGCGAGTGCTTGGTCGCACTTACCGGATTTCGGTGGGTATCGGTAGACCGAATTAGAGGGGATGTCGACCTCCTCCACTCCCGCATTTTGTCTACTTGTCAAAGATCCCATTTCCAGATGAATTTGGAAAAATATATCATAAAATCAAGCAAGCATCACCACACCAAGTTCACCATGAGAACCCGTATTTCTTTCCTTCCTTTAATACCACATGCGCCGTAATTTAACTGGTAAAATATTTTGTATTATTACACATTTTGTTTTGCCCTATATTGGTGTTTCTATTAAACCTTATTAAATTTATGGTATCGTAAGCTAACACCTAAACGGCCCTTGCTTACTGTTTTACATAAGGATGTAACACCACCGACAAGCGGCTAAGATATAAACCTGCAGCGGTTTTTACCGCAGGGCTCGAACTGCGTCTTTTTTTTTTCTCTTTAAGCTCTTTATTATCCTTCCTGCACTTGACTGCTCCGCTTTCGGACTCCTTCAGACAAAAGGGGGAAAAAAGCGCACGGCTGCGGGAGAGCTACGGCATCTTGTGAGACCTACTTCCATTAGGTTTGGGTTTCTCGGTACCCTATCACAAGCCCCGGCTGTCACAGAACGCCTCTAATGGCTACCTCTGACGTCAGGTCTCGGTCCAGACTACGGGGTTTTGCGCAGTACGATCCAGCTCCCGCTTTGCTAATATGACCTTCCCATCACTGGCATCGCTCACTGCAGTGCGGGACTTTAACCATGGCCGACGGAGCGCGGTCTGGGCACGGAATCTTCACCCAATGCTTATCATTTATTTTCACTTTTAATATAACAATAAGGTATAGTATTACATAACGGTAACGTTTGGCCACACTGGATTAAAGTTTAATGATTTAAAATATTAATGTGTAGGTATACATTGTCATTATGCATCATTTCCACACACGTTCATTATAAGCTATTCAGTAATAATTATCCTCAACGTTACATAGCGCTAGCTGTCAGTAGCCTGTAACCACGTGAAAATCTGGCAAACTACATAAAAAGTCTTTACAGTCAGCTTTCTATTTCCAAGGATTATTACTGACGTCTCAATGGAATTAATCTACAAAAATTTAACCTTCCGATAGCTTCTTATACCCCATCGGACCACTACCCTTTCAAGCCGTAATTGCATAAATTAATTTTTCAAACGAAAAAATAACTACCAATGCAAAGTCGTGTGACTGTTGACCAATGATATATCGCCTTTTAGGTGCCGTGCAGTTAGAGAAACCAATAAGAATAGTTCTAGTTTTTTCCGGTCTCCAATCCAGACTGACTAGTCAATGAGAGTTACGTTTCTTCAGCCTAGGGGACGTTCCCTTGAAGGCCAATGATATTTTCGTGCGTTTGAGTGCTCTTTCACAACTGTCCAATCACTGAGCTTGAACGACTTGGTTGTTGGTGGTGACGCTGGAAAATATTTTTGTTGCTGCTGGAAGGCGAGACGCCTGAGTTGGGAGGATTAATGGGGATTGCATGACCTAGAATTCGCCGACGCGTTAGTGTTTTCTCCTTTTTTTAACCGATCATTAACGTTGAGTGAAATCTACGTGTTTCACGTCGACGATGTCGGTGAACATGGATGAGCTCCGGCACCAAGTGATGATCAACCAGTTTGTTTTGACCGCTGGTTGTGCCGCTGACCAAGCAAAGCAGCTCCTCCAAGCAGCTCACTGGCAGTTCGAGGTATGTTTACATCATGATCGTGAGTGTGCTTGGTGTTAGCTCTGTGCTGCTACTCCACTTAGCTTTGCTTTGTATTATGATGTCGATACAAGCTGCGGACACAATTTCTTCAGCCGGAGTAATCTTGCCAGTATTGTTAGCTACCTAGCTAACAACACTGGGAACGACCATTGGGAAAATAACGTGTCCACAGATCGATTATCTTGGTTCTTATTTTTCATGGTAGTTGTTATATGTATTTTAGTATGATATGCCAGTTAGCCCCTGGTATGGAGTAAACAAATCGTCCAGCGCTAATGGACACGATGTACCCGTGTAACAAGACTGCGGTTTGGCTGCTGACTAGCTAATCCGGAAGACCAGCAACTGGGTGCTATGCTAGGTAGCTCCTTGTCCAACAGAATAATACGCGTTTATTCTTCCGCGTTGGGGGTGCAGTTAGCCATCTAATGCAGGAAACCAGACGTATTTTTTTATTTCATTCGGTATGAGATATGTATACTGTTTGGTGTCTATAGCTAGATAATATGACATCAGGCCGATTCTGATCGTATATGGAGAAGTCCAAGTGCACATTCAAATGTTTAGAAGGTAGTTCGTAGGTGGTTCCTATTATAAGTGAAGTGATATACGTCTGTGCGGCTATCTATCTAATCTCCAATGTTTGTTTACATTCAGTTGCTGGTTACTGGCGGTTTGTAGTAGTATCCGGTCAGTCGTTTTCCGCCACGTTTGTATTGACAAAATGAAAATGCTCAGCAGTTAAGACATGTTTTTTAAGTGGCGATTTTATGATTAAAAGGAAAGTGTTTTTAAACTGTACCTCTAAGTATCCCCTGCTATAATGTGAAACGTATAAACGCTTTAAACATTCCAGTCCCTCATCTTTGGCAGCTTGACGGCGTATTTATGACGAAAAATCGATCTTAAAACTACCAGTGAACCTTAATTGATCGTATTGATTTAGAGCTGAAGAGGTTTGCTATATGTCGCATGTAGCAAATACACGTAAAACAGACTTATTGTGGGTTTTTGAGTAGACAGAAAAATAGATCCCATAGTTTTGCATTTTGTTTGGACTTAGATGTTCTTAAGCACGACCTAAATGTAAACGTTCACATTTTTAAACTTCTCAACAAGACGTTCAGATAATTTTAAATTCATTAACTTTATTTCCAGTTATTTTCTGTGTAACATAATATCCATGCTAGCACAGTGTAAATGAACATTTTAATTCGTGTATATGTAAAGTTAGTTATTAATTAGATTCAAGATTCTTTATTTGTCACATGTAGTTATAGCTGGTTCAACATACAGTGAAATGTGTTTCCCTGGCTGAACTCCGACTGTGCTAGACGTAGGATAAGTATATAAGTACTAACAGAGGAATTACATCTATGTTTTTTAAATTGGGATGATTTAAGAATCACTCTAAGAATCTGTTTTATTCGGTTAGTTTAGACACTTCCTTAAATTTGTTTTAAAGGAAATGTACAACAGTAATTACAGGAATAACTGGTGTGGCTTGTTTTTCATGTAAACAATACTAAATATTAATGCCCTGTAATATGTAATGAAATACATTTTTGTCAAGATGTATTCAGTATATAACTAATACATTTGCATATAATTACGGGGATTCTCCGTTTAGTAAGGTAATTCAGTGGCATAACAGAATTGTTGCTCTAGTTGAAATCACATGTATCATTCATAAAGATCATGAAGATCTGTTTACGTTCTACCTTGAAACTAAAGCTGTGGTTGAGCCATGAGACTGAATTTCCCCATGAGACATCCCAGGTAATGCTGATCATGATGAGATTTTGCTTGTATAACTAGTGCAAATTGATGTTGTCATCTCAGAATCAAGCTGACGATTGTCATCCCTTTCTGGTACTGGAATAAGGACGACTCAGGTCCAAAACCCAGTTTCTTCACCACTAGACCATCTGTTTCCTTGCGTTTTTTAACAAGACACAATTTATCCTATTAAGCTGTATTTTGTTGGACTCTTGCATAGCACACATTCCCAAACTGGAACCATATATTCCATATATTGTACTTTTACTGCTGGAACACTCATCTTTTCCCAGATGGATAGAATTTTATAGGTTTTGTTTTTTCATGTTAATTTAAAATGAACATATCTTAAGTAGTCCCCAACTTTATATAAGCCAGTATGGTCTCTTTTACCTTTTAATGTAATGTCTCATAAATTTAATTGCATTTTGTGCACCCCATTTTTGTTTTATTTTTTAACAGTCTAAACTGTATTATTGCAACACAGGATGCACTTCCCACAAACTGGCTAAGTAATCTTAACATGCCTTTACAGATGTGAGATACTATCCTTGGTTTGAACAGGAACAGCACACTCCCCCTTCATCTTGCTTAATGACTGAGCGGCATGCAAACATTGTTGAGTCATACTCAGAGGGAGCGCCACATCAGACTTTTTGCCATTTCCGATCACAATAGTTCATGTTGAATCATGAATGGTGGATAGTGTCCTGTATACCCAATGCAAACTAAGATTGCTTATGACCCTCCCTTATTTGCTTATTTGGTTTTTCTCCTTTGTTTTTAGTAGCTGACAAGTTTTAGCAGACGACTACATGCTTTATTAAGATGCCTTAATAGTCTTGGGTTTTCGTTAAGCTCAGTTTTGAGAGCTGGGTGCCCCAAGTGATTGAAGTGGTTTTATTGCTGGGGCTTGTCTCTGTGCGCCACTTTTCATGCTTTGTAGTGAAGAGGACCAACAAATCATAGCATTGTTTTCAGGAGCTCTAGGTAGGTCAAAGGAAGCTATTGATTGTTCTGATGAAAACAGAGCTTCAGTAGTCAAATGTATTTTGAGAGGGCAATACTGGCTGTTGCTTGCTGTTGTAATTTCTTCCATCTTCTTTCCCTTTCTTCAACTCTAATCCATAATTTTTCCTTTCTGTTAGTCTTACCTTGGCAGGAAGCCCCAAGATCTGCTTGTATGTTGCACTGTGTTGCCATTGCGGGTCAGTTGCATCATATAGGCTTAACCAAAGGGCCAAAGCGATGATTCCCAGGGGCTGTTTGTCAGGACAGCATGCATTTTCTGAACTCTTTTGGTTCTGCCAAAATTTGTGGGGGTAAAAAGGCACGGCATCAAACACATTTTTAAATACAGAGGAGCCAAGACAAAAGAACTTGTCTGTTTTGTTCCTGTATTGTGTGTACATTTTAAAATTTGGGATCTCTGGTTTGGGTAACTGTTAATCATCCATAGCTTACCAGATTTTTATAGCATTATACTGTGGTGAGTTGTTCTGCCGCCCCCCCCCCCCTAAATAATTTCAAATTCAGTGTAAGTTTTTACACATACGCTAGCAGGCCGAGGCTGTGAGAACTCTGAATTGTAAGTGCGCTGGCTGCATGCGAACAGGGGAATAGTACAAACTCAGTGCCCTCACAGACAATGGGAGTCTGGTGTCTGAACGTTGATATGTGTGTCACGTTTAGCAGTGAGCATTCCTCCACTGCCACCACCACTGTGCGTCGTGGAGGAACGGCCAGGCATTCAGCAAGGGGGGGGGGGGGGGGGGGGGGGGGGGGGGGGGGGGGGGGGGGGGGGGGGGGGGGGGCAGGGAAACAGAGAGAATGCAGTGGGCTAGTTGGGGGGGGGGCCATAGTGCAGCTCAGGGCCTTTTAATTTCCCTTCATTCAGGCTTGTTACATTGAAGTGCTTGGAAGTCTTTATACATATGTCTTGGCAAAAAAAAGTGTATAATCGTTGCCTTTGTGCCCCTTGAGGTGTAAACAGTAGATGGTACATGGCTGAAATATTAATTTGATGTTCTAGGTAAGCATGATGCAGTCTGAAAGGTATATTTTGTATGCTTATCTAAGTGTGGTATGAAAAAACAGTACTCTGCAGTTTTATTGAAACATACACCGCCTGCAGTCGTTCAGAACTGGACTATAACTCATTGTGCTCATGTGTAACGTGGTTTTGCTCTTTTTCTTTCCCATACAGACTGCTCTAAGCTCCTTTTTTCAAGAAGCCAATGTCCCCAGTCATCACCACCAGATGGTAAGAGCATTTAGTTAACAAAAAAAAAAAGATGGACTGTTTGGAAGATAGAAATTGAAATAGCTGTGGTGGTTTTGGTGTATAAATTTCTGTGCCGCGTCCAGGGGCCGTTGTTAGAGAAGCATCATTGTGAATAGTGTAGATTGTGAGCCGTAATACTCTGTTTTACAACTGCCTGACATGCATATAGTTATGTGTGTTTTCTCGGTGTCTTGGGTGGTACTTGTGCAAGTGTCTCCATGTGAGGGTTTGCTTTTATTTCGGGTGTAGCCATTACATCATTCTGGGGCAGGAAAGGAGAGGGTGGAGAGGTGGGATTTGGGAGGAGGGGTTTCCATGGCAAGCTGGCATCTGCTGATGGTCCATCCCCCCCGCCAACACACACACACACACACACACACACACACTTATTCATCACACCTTCTTCTGACAGCATCTATAACTGTTTCACCGCAGTCTCCTTGAGCAGCAGCAGGCATGCAGTACAGTTCTATGGTCGCTTGGTTATTTACGAGTATGTTGAAGTTAATTTGTTTTGTCTGTTTTACTGTTTGTTTAGTCTTCCTTCATTTTGTGATGTGTGAAGTTCTGAATGTTTACTAGTGACTACCCAATGCAGTTGTTTATATTTCATTTTGGCATTTCTCTAAAGCTTGAAATTAATGCCTTTTTTTGTCTAAAGTCTGTCATGGCGGCATTCTGAAAAGGCCCGATCCAGTCAGAGGTGAAACACTATCTTTCGTTCGATTTCGACACAAAGGCATATCTGAGGCTTTCGGCTCTCCCCAGAAGCTGCTGGTGAAAAAGACATGTGTGGTTTTGTGAGGGTAATTAGGACTTGGTTTAAGTCCTTTGTGGTGATTGTGGCACGTTGGACCAAGTTGTGGGGGCTGTGACCCCTGAGCACTTATCTGAAATCTGTTAGGAGGGACAAGCTTTTTCCTAAATGCCAGACCATGGCATTGAATGCATGTGAATTGCTGAAGTTGGATCTGCATGCCAGTCTATTAAAGACGTAATCTTAAAGTTTTTGAAGTAAGCATGTGTGCCATGAAGTGACTAAAAGGGAAGGATAAAAGAATATAAAACCCATACTCAGTCACATGGTTTTGATTTCTGACAGACCTAATTGTTTAGAGCCCCCCCCCCCCCAAGTTCCTTGTATTTTCACCCATTTTATTGAAGTTTTTTTTTTATCCTTGGCTTTGATCTAGCAGCCTGAAGGTTGCAAGTTTATGTACCAAAGCAGGTATACATATAGTACACTGGAGTTCTCATATCAGTGTTGAGAGTACCGAATGGGTTTTGCCTTGCGAACACCCAGTTGAACTGGCCCGTTTGGCTTCAGCCCTAAAGCTACAATGGTGACTGCGACTTCCTGTCTCGTCTGAAAGCAGTGACTCCCATCCCCCTGCCTCTGTCTGTGTTTAAGGTTAACCTCCCCCACATCACAGACATGTCGATTCTTTTCTCTCCCTGCAGTCCCGTTATCCTCCAGTAGAGGTGCACTCTGATGAGGCAGTTTCCTTGGTCCAGTCCTCTTTTTTTTTCAACTGGTCTATCATGTCATACCCAAAAATGAGCAGTTGTTTAAATGCAGTCACATGTTTTTAGGACAATTAGGTTTGGCTGACAGGTCTCTCAGGTTCTGTCTTATCAAGTACGAAAGACGAGAGGGTCTGCAGTTTAGTTTTTCTCTTGATAAACAAACATGCAATCTGGGCCTGTGAAAGACATCTCTGGGGTGTGATATTCTGGCAGTGCGAAGCCGTGTGCACTTCCCCCTCGTACTGAAACATGGAGCTGAACTGTCAGCAGATCCTGTGACACAATCTATGGCTAACATGATCAAGGGGAGGTCTCTATATAAATAGCAAATAAGAAATGATTATGTGTATAACAGAGCTGTACTTCCACAGTACACACAGTTAAATGTGTGAAAAGCCGGAGTCTTGATAAGCATTGTACACTATAATCTTACCTGAAAGTTAGAGATGTTTGCGGTGCTTTTAGCTACACGCTAGAACTTTCTGTGAACTCCTGAATAAACAATCAGCATTCCGGTTTTACACCTCTGTGACCTGTGATTGAACCTTATAGTATTGCTTACAACTGGTTATTATATAGCACAATTTTCTCAGGATAAAAAAAATTATTGCTGAGTAAATGCGATTGGAACAGCGCACAGGGAATGCGGCTGTCTGTCTGTAGGATCGTTAATCTGAATCTTTCTGATATATTTCTTGCTCGAATAGATAGGTGTTCTGGCGCTGTTTTCGTTTTGACAGCATCCAAACAGAACGTTCTATACCTTTACTGACAACCATGTGACACAGTCAGCATTGTTCACAAGAACATCTTGCACTCGACTTTTGCACCGATTGCAAAACCACTTCCACCTTTTTCTGCAGTTTTCTCTGTGCTCTTTGAATTGTATGCCCACATTCGGCTCAAAATCAGCAGTGCTTTACATTTAGTCATACAAAGTGGGTTTGTCGGTCGTTTTCATAACTAGAGGTAACGTAAAAGCTGGATGAAAACACATCTATTATGTCATTACACGAGTAGCGAACATAAGAATGAAACTCAAACTTGATTGTACTCATTTCACAATGTAAGTTAGTAATGGAAAAGAATGTATAACGGTAGTACTCTGAGGTAATGGGGGTGTAAGAATAAAACCAGTGGGTGGCATATCTCCTGAATCGTTGCGTTAGTTATCTGAGTCATAAATATAGTTTGAAACCTCAGGTACTACCAGTGTCATGTATGACATGTTGTATGTGTGCTTGATTTTTACCAGTTTCTGGTTTTATTTTGCCTCCTAGTCTTTTGGTTTTTGATGTTAAAAGGATTTGGAATTCTGTGTTCAAGTCTGTCCCAGTGATTTAGTTTCGTTTTGTGTTGATGTGTGGAAACGTGCTCTGCAGCCCAAAGTGTTTAGTGTGTTTACCCTGTTTTTTATACCCAGTGGCAGTCAGGAAGGATCTCTTCATTGTAATTCAGGTTTTGATTCTGCTCTTCCTCTCCTTCTATTCCACGCAGATGTGCACACCGCGAAATACACCAGCCACCCCACCCAACTTCCCAGACGCCATCACCATGTTCTCCAAACTGCGGGCATCCGAATGCAGCGGCGGCAGCGGAAGCACTTCGGCGGTGGGCCCCACGGCCTGCTCCCCGCCTCCCTCATCCTTCTGGGCCTCCTCCCCGCCCAGCCACCAGCCAGTCTGGCTGCCCCCCTCATCCCCCACGGGCCATCACCTACACCATCACCACCACCTGCACCAGTCCCACATGTGGCCACCCGTGTCCCAGCCTGGCAAGACCCAGCAGACGCCCGTTGTGTCTGCGCTGCGCGGTCAGAGATGAGACTTGAGAGCCGGGCAGGAATTCCTGAGGGGATATAGGGGTCGAAGTATTAGCGAAAGCGGATGGTGGCGAGTGACAGAGACCCGTAGTTTTTTTCCATTTCTTGAAAAAAAAATCTTTATTAAAAATGTTGTTTCCTACATTTTTGTCGGTAATTTAGGTACAAATATCCAAACCTGGGGAGAGACCACTACTAATATAAATCCGAAAATGTCTAAAGTGTCTTTGAAGCAGGTCTCCTAGCGCCTACTTTCAGGCATAGATCACTTTGGGAGGAAAGGCAGTTGCCACAGCAATGCAAACAAGCTTGTGACTAAGCACTGGAAACATTTGCAAGACTCTGAAGGATTTAGGGCAGGGAGGCTATATCCATATGGCCTGACCTGCCTCTGCCTGATGGGGGGAAAAAAGGACCCCTTGTGTTCAGTACCCCAAGTGTAATAAGACCCTGCTGTTGCTTCAGCTGCAGCATTTGTAGGACTGGCAGTGAAAAAAAAGTGATCCTGGAGGCTGCTGAAGGAGCCTTTGTGCTTCGTTTGTGTCGAAGGAGAACAATGTGGACCTTCGGGAACATGAAGCCTTCAAATCGGATCATTGACCCTTTGGGTTCGGTTTTTCTTCTTCATGAAGTAAAGTTGTTTCGCTTGGTTTAAGAACAAATCTATGGATTTAGTGTTTTTTTTTTTTTTTTTGGTGTGTGAACATTTCTGCTGAGCTCAAAAATAATGGAACAAAGGAATTTGACAACAGCCCAGCGTGACTCACTAAAAGGTCCTAGCGGACACGTCAGGATTGGTTGTAGTCCTGTCACTGGTTTTTGTTGACATCTAACAATCTGAGATTGCTTTTTTTATTTCAAGCTGTTTTTATGGAAAAGTTTTGATGAATCCCGTGTCTGACCACAAAGGAAGCAGTATACTAAGTGTTGAATGCATTGTTTTATGTTATCTGCATATTCTGAGTTTTCAGAATAATTTCACAAATGGTTAGTGATTTGTCTTGGGGTGCTTTTCCACCGCACCAGCACCAGCACCAGTACCATACTAATAATGTCAGGCTGGATGATGTGCGACATTAATGCCAACATTGCATGTTATGCGTGTGCGAATCTTACATTGATAGTCAGCAAGATTATGTTCAGGCTTTTTCTTACCTTCAATTCCATACGCACATTATAGCGCAGGGAATTTGTTTCACTAAAACATTTTTACTCTCTCACAGGAAAAAAAACTTGGCAAGTTTTGCAATTTTAATGATTATTCCTTTTCAAGATTATCTAGTATGTTTAAAAAATCAGTTTAAAATTTACCTCCGCTGCTTTTGCATGAGCGCTGCATGCATTCTCTGAGACAATCAATCATTTTCCTCCTTACTGTTTAAATCATTCCTGGACAGTATTGTGAAAAATTTATGTTGAACTCATTTTTTGCTTTATAAATACCCAAATATTTCATACGACAAAATTACATGGCAATATAGGGATATATTATTTTTATTTCTTGTCATGCCATCCTGATTTTGTTGTATCTGATTTTCCAAGCAAATCACAATTAAAGCTTGGGTCTCTTCATTTGTCCTCACATCCATCATTATTACCTTTGTTAACGTTATTTTCTGAGTTTGTAACTTTTTTCAAGACGGCGGTTGTATTGTGTTTCCAGGCAGGGTATTTGCATAACCAATCCACAAAGAAAGTGTTTGCAAGTACCAAAGAAGTACTCCAGCTGGTTTGGTACTTTAGGTACTGGAATTTTTGGTACTGGTACTTGACTGGAAGTCAATGGAAAAGAGAAAGTACCAAAAGTATGGTACCTGGTGCAGTGGAAAAGCGCCCTTGGTCTCTTGCAATGGATGCTGGGAAAACTGAAGCAATTAGTTGATACTGTTCTATAAATCACATTGGAAGGTTAACAATGCAGTCAATACAAGCACTCTTCTACCTCTTCCTGGTGGGAGCAGCATTTTTCATGCACTGAATGTACTGTTGAAAATGGGCACTTGGCAAAGTGTAGAGCTGTGTTGAGCACAAAGTCAGTTGGATGATTTTAATTTATGTGCATCTTTGTCCATTCTCTAGTGGATCATAGCAGTCATTCCACCATTTTTGCTCTGTTCTGTGGCTTTTTACTGATAGAAGAGAGTTAACAGGAGTCCACTGAAATCTGGTGAATATATTTTTGGGATTCTTTTTCTCTCTTCCGTCCCGTAAAACTACTGAAGGTAATTGCCAGCTGAGCGGTGCCTGAGGCAGTGGTTCCCAAGCCGGTCCACAGCGAACCCCAGACAGTCCGAGTCTTTGTCCCTCCCAGCTTCCTGCCAGACGTTCTACATTTTTGCTCAGCTGGGAGAGAGCAAAAACGTGGACTATCTGGCGGTCGCTGTGGACCGGCTTGGGAAACACTGGACTAAGGTGTGTAGGGCCACATCTGGTAATATTTTACGAATAGTGTGTTTTAGGATTAAGATGATCTGGTATGTGAAAAGAGATGGTTGCCCTTGAGGAAGTAAGTTTTAGGTCTGCAAGCGATGGGTTTAAATGGTCTTGTGGTACAGATGTGCTTCTCAACCTCCACAGTGGTTGCATTTATGAATCTAGTAGATTAACAGTAATCTTCGCATGAGAATTAGCAGAACTGACACGCAAGAACATCCAGATCCTCTTCTTATCTGATTTGGGTTGTGTCTTGGCGGGGGGGCTGTGATGCTGATTGGAGATTTAAGTTTGCCTGTGTGTTTGTCATTTCACTTTGTGGCTCATCACAATGGTTTATGTTTCTCGTTGCATGCATTTCACTTCTTATAGAAAGTAAAATGCATTCATTCTTCACAGACATCACATTCGTCAAAAATGGTGTACTGCTTTCTTTTGACTTTTTAAGATTTTGATTCATGGGATGGTGTTTTTTTTTTAAAATAATAAATGTGGAATGTCAGGACATCAGGTGGGCATTGGAATGCTGAACATGGTCATGTGATGTGAGTCATGTGAGCAGCTGTGACCCACACCAAAGTTCTGGTCTGTCATTTCAGACCCTGCTACACTAAGCCATTGTACAATCTCTGGGATCGACTTCCATCTCACAGGGACAGTAGGAGCGTGCAAATGAAACACATGCACATCTGCATTGTTCTGCTCAGAAAAGGATAATACATATGCAATGAGAAATGATTTCATTGAAATCCTACCATGACAGGAGTACTTAATTGTTGTATTATATTGATCTGATGCTTAAATCTGACTGGTGAAGTTTGCGTGAAGGCAGCCTTTGGGGATTGCTGGAAACAAGCTGATTTTCTTTTTAGAAACTTCTCATTTGGGATGTTCTTTAGAAGCAATGGGTGTTTGAGCTGGGACTGTGAGTTGTGTGTATACTGAAAAGAACAGTGGAAAAATTTTAACCATATTGTGACCACAATCACAAAATGATGTTGTCCATGGTGAAAATTGTGACTATGCTTTTGAGCAAAATGTTCATTGTTAAATAGAAATTTATACATTTAAAAAGTGAGCAAACTACATGTTGCGGTGCATCCTGGGAAGGTTAATGTGTGAACACGACCTTAGTCACTTTGGAGACGATACACTTTCTGAACCTTAGCAACCTGAAATTTCTTTTTAGCTTGTTTTATATTCCTTTTGCTTTGTACAGTTTTAGCAGCTGCTGGAAAAGGATGTATAACTTTTTTTTTTTTTTTTTTTGTATGGTTAGAAAGCATGCATTGCTCAATTCCGTCATGAGATTTTTCTATCCATGCGTGACATATGTAACTATGATACTTCATATCAAAAAGGAAAACATTTTTTTATGTAGCTAAAAGAAACAGCAAATCAAGTTGTAGTTTTTGGAGTTCTTTAGTATTTTGCTACTTACACAAATACCAGCACAGTGATTTTTAAAAAGTAACAAACAAAAAAAAAAAAAACATTAATGATGATCTCATCCACACCAGCTACTCCAGGTTTCTCCAGTGGGCTTTTCAGTTTCTCAATCCAGATCCACGTCAACAGATACCTCTCTGATATTCTCCACCACACTGGACCTTTAGTCAGTTTCTGCTTTTTCAGATGAAGCAATAAAGTAGAATCAGGCAGATTTTTTTTCCTGTCTGCGAAAAGACTCTCATGTGGATTTTGTGTGTCTTTGCTCTAGTTGATTTTTGATTAAAAAGAAAAAAGAAAAACATGGATGACTATGCTGTGGTATGATGAAAATATCAAGCAGTTTTGAACAATTTGGTTATTGTGTGATTGATCATTTCTAGCTGCATATAAATATAGCGCTGCATATTCTGTGCCTGATGGATACGCAATGCAGAAATACTGAATAGTTGAGTAGACTTTGAGATGAGTCTCTTAAAACTTAACAGTTTGAAAATATATTGTCAGAGGTAACGTTCTCTAATTTTTAAACCTGATTTTGGTTAAGCAGAGAAATGTGCATTGTTAGAAAGTGGTCAATGAATAAACCGTATGTTATGCCAATTACAATGTGGTTTTGCTATAACAAGGTTTTGATACAAATTGTTTGATCATTATCTAATGAATAAGCAGGAGGCTGTCTGGAGAGTCATCACTTAATAACGTAATTGGATGCTATTTTTTGTAATTTCATTTCTGGATTTATTTCCCTGGTTGAAATGTGTATTTATACATTTTAAAATAACATGGTACAGTATCATTTATTACCAGTGTTTTGTTTTTATTCCTTAAGAGCAGCTGATTTACTGTCATTGCAAAAATGACAATGGACCCAAAATATGAGTCACGAAGAGCTTGAGGAAGAGAGAAATATGAAACATTTCTACTTACAATAAATAATACACCAGTTAAATTGGTTTTGTATGAATATTTTTAAAATTACACATCACACAAATAAATCAACTAAAGGCAATAATAGAAGTTTGGAATTGCAACACATTAGTATCATTAGAATTTTTTTGTGTATTGAGTTTGAATATAAATATTTAAATATTAAGGTCACAGAACAAATTATTAAGACGTAGGATATTTTTGTGCCATCTATAATGAAAACAACGTTACTGCAGTTCAGGTTGTATCCCAGTGTGACCCAGCCACAAAAGCTGCAGTTATGTAGAATTACATATACACTTAATAGTAACAGGAGAAAACATTCATAGAAGGACCTACATGTGCATAACATGCAGCACGCAAGCAGCTAAAACATTGCCTGCAGTTATTTACATCTGAACTTTCATTACTAAATCCTTTTTTAGAGATAATCTAATCTAGGGTGCTCTTTGGTCAAAAAATATCTATGAAATAAATTACTTTGTCCAGTTTCCATTGAATGTATTTGCCTGTGTTTTTCACTGCAGTATTTAGAAACATCTAACATGATGATGCACAAATTATTTTGGTAATTCTCTTATTGATTATATACACACACATACACACAGCCGTGGGAAAAATTGAGACCGACCACTGTATATATTTTGAAACAAGTCTGCATTTTTAAAATCCCGGTTTAATCCTGGTTCTGCTGGCAGAAGGCTACGCTGAGCAGCAGGTTGCTCCAGGTTCAAAATTTCTAAGAGTGCAATACTCAAGAGCAAGGTGAAGCAGGAGACACTGGGAACGACCAGAAACCAGCCAGGTAAAGGGCAGAAGCAACTTTCTAATGCCAGAGATGACTGTTACCTTATTCAACAGTTTCTCGTGAATTGTACGATGACTTTAAGTGACCTTCAAAAAGAATGGCAAACATTAAGTGCAGGTGTGTAATGCACTACAAGGATGGTTCGTATTAGGCTCCTAGAAGCAGGACTTAAGTCCCTTAACGCAAAGAAGAAGCCCTTCATTAATGGGAAACAGAGAAGAACCAGGCTGCAGATTGCAAAAAAATAAAAATGTTATTCGCAGACACACACATTGTCCTTTGGTCTCTTAATCTTTTCTGCAGCTGTATGTAATATATATTTGAAGTTTATTCATTTTATATGATGTGATGGAGCAAGATTTGCCCATTCCCCCTTGCAAAATCACTCAAGCTGTGCCAGGGTAAATGGGGAATTCGCTAGACAGCTTTTAGGTCTCGCCACAGATGTTCAATGAGGTTAAGGTCAGCACTCTGCCTGAGCCACTCAAGGACATCAATTTTCTTCATTTTAAGCCACTCCATTGTTGCTAGGGCAGTGTGCTTTGGGTCGGGCTCCTCTCCAGTGTAAGCTTTCTGGCAGAGAGGAGCAAGCTTTGTTTCCGGATCTCTGTATTTTGCAGAGATCCTGATTTTCCATCAATCCTGACCTGGACCCTGCTGTTGAAAAGCATCCCCACACCACGATGCTTCCACCACATATTACAGCGGGGATTGTGTTTCCTGGCTCCTGTGCACTGTTAGATTTACACCGCAACACAAATGCTTTGAGTTTAAGCCAAAAGGTTACGCATTAGTCTCATTAACCCACAAGACTTTCTGCCATATCTTTCTAGTGACGTTTTGCAAATTCTTTACAGGCAAGGACATGATTTTTTCTTTTCCTTCCCCAGTCTGGGCAATGCCCAATGTTTGTGCAATGCCTAGGAGATGTGTTGATGTGTGAACTTCATCTCCAATCACGTTCACTGACTTATGCAACTCAGAGTGACAGTAGGTGTCACAGTAGCTTCTCTGACAAGTGCCATTCTTGTTGGTGTCTACAGAGGCAGCCTGGCAGTGTGGCTGTAGTTTTACATTTTCCCCACTTCCATATTACGGACTGCACTGAGCTCTGAGGGATGTTCGGGGCATTTCAGATGACCTACGTTACCCCCCATATCTCTCTCCATAATAATAGCCCCAACTTGTCTTGAAAACTCATTTGTCTTTATTGTGGTCTGCTTTGATGAAAATCCCCATCATACTGTTGGACCTCAGTAAGAAACTGCGTATTTATCTTCATTAATAAGTTGGGAACAGGTAATCCACCCATTTCCTAAACAGGTGGAGACCGTAACCAAATTGAGCGAGTTCATAAGGTAATACACTGCACCTGAGTAAAGTTATCCTCATAGTTACAAAGGTCATACATATTTTTCCTTTTTTTTGCTTTTTTTGTAAATTGTTGAAAGGTTTGTGAATTTGTTTCTTTTGGAATGATTTACACTTTTGTAGATCAGCTTGAAAAACACTGCAAGTGTAGAATCATAGACAAAACAAAAAATAGTTTGGGGTACTGACTACTTTTTCAAGGCGCTGTACAGCTAGATCTTTTCAATAGTGATTTCAAGTGCACATGTCTTTACTGAAGTTAAAAAGTACTAAATTTAGAGATTGTCACACTGTTTATCTGCCAACCTGCCTGGATTCTTATACTTTAGACCTGCACAACCTGCCATCCATGCAGCAATTTGTGTTTATTAAAATTAATGGCTGGATTGTGTGTTATTTCTGGTCTTGCGATCCTGTCATCATAAATGCATGAACCCAGTGAGCAATCAGGACAGCTTTGAGAAAGGAAATTAAGTGCGTTTTCCACCAGTCACTTCTCCCTCTTGGACTTGAAGATGGTCCATGTGAATTTCCAACCTCTGCTGGATCTCATTGGCATTATCTACCGGGAGTGTGGACTGGGACACTGTGGTGTGGGACAGACGTGCTGAGGAGGACGTAGGGCGTCCCCTTCCAGGGCAGGACAAGGCTGCAGAAAAGAAAATCTATAAGGTTTGGGTGAATTTTCATGATTGAGAGTGCAGCTACATGGAAGAGTAACTTAATTAAAAATACTATAAAATATGAAAACTCATTCATTAAGTTTAACCTAAAATATTGAGAACGATAAAATGCTATTTTGTATGGGTATGCAACAGTGCAAATAAGGAGAACTTTGTGATTTTGATGCTTTGACAAAGGCAACAATTAGATAAAACATTTAGATGTTTTAATAAAGGTATTTCCATAGCCAGGTATTTTTGCTGGAGAAATTCAGGCTAAGTACATTGCTCAAGGGTACTACAGCAGATTTACTTACAGTAGGACTTGCCCTAAGCTACTACAGTACTTCCCACTATCAGCCACTGGAACATTAGGCCTGCACACACTACAAGACTCACCTGATTGACTGCGATATGTCCTGGCACTGTGAGGACGTGCCATAGTCCTGGACGTTCCCTTGACAAGGTTGAGTTTTTGTGACTGTGACCTGGTCACATTCTCTGTGCCTCTGCAAGTACCTGTGATGACAGAATAAACACAGCCAAGCCCATCATCGATCCAGCTTTTTAACCACACAAAAATACCCCTATCTGTCTCTAATTTAGTAAAATAACTCATAAGTATTATCGCTTAAAGGCTGTCTTCTGTAGAAACCTTGAGTCTAACCTTAATCACTCTGCTTAATACCTGTCAATAGGTGTTTCTTTCTAATTTGACTTGGATATGATTCATGTCAGAGTGAATTGCTTTGAATCCTGTTGGGCTACATCTGTTTCAAAGAAATATATGTTATATTAATGTTTTTTTTTTTCATTTTAAATGTGGCATAAAGTGGCAGCATGACATGTAATGATCAAACTGGAAAATGTTTTTTGACACCTCCGCTAAGCTTTGTTATTTACTCTTTGAGCACCCATGTTGTTGATCTGACATTTCATGAACAGGGCATCCTTCCAAGATAATAACCTTCTTTAGGGATAATGGTTGGCAGCCCGGGATCCATGTTCTTCACTGTTCTTGTAGCCAGACGGCCCTTGTAGACTTGTCCGTTCAGGCCAAGAATATCCACCTCTTCTGCCTGACAGAAAGACACACATTCACAAAAATATCCTCAAAGGCTCGTCATCTGGTATGACAGGAGATTTGAGAGGCTTTAGCCTGAGAACAAAGAGAGTAATGCACGAGTCATGCTGGGGACAACACCCACCTGAGCAGGCAAAGTTGGTCTGGGTGAGGACTGTGCTTCAGATGATGACTGCATGAAATGGGTGATGTGTTGCAAACGGGTGTAGCGCCGGCTGGCTAGAGCGAGGGTGTGGCTGCCGCCGCAGTTTCTGGACACCGGCAGGTAGCTGTAGTCCGCCATCTCAGGAATCCGCTCACTGATGAATGAAGAAAAGAAGCCAGAAGACAGTTCCAGATGTTTACAGCCAAAACACTCTAAGGTTCTGCACTGTCAGAATAAAAGTATCAATTTGTACCTTTGAGGATGCAGAAACTTGTCAGTGGGGCTGTACCCTCAAGGGTCTGCTAATTGTACCCTAGCTTTTAGCCTAATTAATGGTACAGAATATCTCATGTCAGAACTAGCATCAAAAATGTGAAGATCAAAGGGCAGGTAGAACAGATTAATGCAGGTATAGCCCGTGCTCTGACTCTCCTTTCTGGCTTCTAGCTTGGCTGAGTACGAACATGGACTGACTGAGTGTATCAGGATGATTCATCCAGATACTGCCCACGAGCCACTTCCTGCAGACACTTCCTGGCCTGGACCATGTTGAATGCCTTAGATAATTACAGTTACATGGACTTTCTTGTGCTCAATAACTGGGACACTTCCTATGCTTGGACTTACTTGAGTTTATTAACTAGGACAAGTCCCCAACCCACAGCCTCCCACGGGCCACTGGAGCCTGGAAAGAAATTTGTCCATAGCCCAGGGTGTGGATGACAGAGACGTGCGGTGCACACACATGGTAGAGGGCATAGTTATTGCTGCCATTAACTTGAAGAGAGACAGGGGAAGGAGGTTAAGAGAGCCCACATGCTTGGCTTACAAGATCACAACTGTGATTTGGTAAGATACTATTTTAGCTTGCAGATGTCTACAATGGGGAGGCATGGTGGCCCAGGGGTAGGGGTGTAACAATGCACCGTGGTACAAAACTGTGCGTTCTGGTTAACGAAGACAGTATATGAAAAATAGTGGTTCATGCCTCCAATGAAATGCATTAATGTTAACACAAGAGGGTACAATAGTTTTGCCTTGAGATTTTATTTTTGCAATTTGCACTCGAGTCTGCAAAGTAAGGGAAAAAATGCAAGAAAAAAATGGTTTGAATACAGCTTTTTTGTAAATATACACATCTAAAAGGAACAAACAAGAACCGTGAGATCTTAGCTTGACATCCCCTTGTTTGCTTGCGTTTCCCCCAGATATGCTACTTTCATCTGTCCATAAATATGTACTTAGATTAATAGGTAGTGCTAAACTACCTATACTATGAGTAAGTGCCCTGATATGAACAAGCCTCCCATCCTGGATATTTCTGAGTGTTGGGGATTTCAGGTCCAGAAGCTACAATCCAGACCAAGATTTTGATTCTACCAACCAGGTGAGTACTCTGTGACTGTCACTCCTTATGCTCAACTGGTTGGTAGAAACAAAATCTTGGTCTGGATTTGTAACTTCTGAACCTGAAATGTCCAACACTGATGTTTCCTGGGATAGGCTCCAGATCCCCCGCAACCCTGAACAGGACAAGCAGTTACAGATGGGTGGATGGATGGATGGATGGATGGAAAATGGACACAAGAAAAGCCATATTGATTTTGATAGGTCTTGTTGCTTATTTCTCTACAGCTCTCACCTTCGGCAATGCTGACGCACTTGCTCCAGCTCGTATACAGTATACGGCCGGTTGGATTTGTGGGATGGCAGGCCAGGAGCACAGGGAATGCTGATGAGCTGCCTGTGCAGGAAGGACCAGTAAGCGTCAGACAGGAAGCACACTGGTAAAATTGGTGATGGCAGCACAATAACAGTCTGTATGGACTTACGGCCCTGGGGTCAACATGTCAACAGGTCGGTCACAGGAAATACAATGGAATCGCGCCACTAGCTGTCTGCAACAAGGAGAAAGGGAGCCATAAGCTACAAATTACTGGTCATATTCTGTTATTTACAGTTAATTGTCAGCAAACTGGGTTGCAAGTGTCTCTACAGATGTGCAGAAAAACAGTGACTAGATGTAGACTGTTATCTATCTTTTTTAACTGACAGCTTTTTCTCACACATTTTCTTTTACATCCATTATATTTACTCTCACAGTTGCCTAAAGCCATGTAAAAATTAATTCTGGACATCAAAGTGAAGTAGAAACCCCCTCCTAAGAAAACCTTACACACAAGCACCCAGGAACCGTAAGGAGCACACACAAGTCCCACAGGGTGATTATCTCAGAAGAGGAACGAGGTGCCACTCCCTCAGAGTATTGCTCACTTCCTAAACCCAGCAGCGTCGTCCAGCTCTACTGTGGGCTGGGCCTGCAGCTGCGTCCGAATAGCCTTCCAGCGCTCCTCCAGCTGTGCTTTTAGGGGATCCAGCTCGATGCGGTTCAGCTGTGGGAAGACACGTCTAATGCAGCAGGCCCCATGGTGAGCCGTAAGGGCAATTCTTACGTATTATGCACTATATGTACAGATGGATGCTATCTGTAGTGTAGCAGTGTCTATTTTCAGCATTGCTATATCTAAATTTGTACAAACCACTGTATTTATCACCTACCTTGTGTTCAGGCCTATTTGTCGTGTATCTTATGTCTTGTACTTATTCTCAGTTTGTTTATTGCCTAGAGCAGGGGTCTCCAACTCCGGTCCTGGAGAGCTACTATCCAGTAGGTTTTCTGTCCCACTTGGCTTCTGATGAGCCACACCTGGTCTTGGTATTTACCTGAGAACAGGTGTGGCTCATCAGAAGTCAGGTAGGATAGAAAACCTACTCGATAGTCGCTCTCCAGGACCAGAGTTGGAGACCCCAGGCCTAGAGTTATGGTCTATTATCATGGTGCCTTCAACCACATGTGTGACAATGAATATTCTAATTACGCATGCTAAACTTTAACAGAGAAAGAATGCTTTAAATAAATAAATAAATAGATATCATTTGTTTCTCTTTAAAGAAGATACTTATTCTGCCGCTTAGGATAACAAAAAATAGTCCAAGAAGACATCAGACTGGTGTTTATGTGTTAAATGGGTTAGAGTATCAAGAGCTTCACCAAGTGTTGATGGGGATGTTCTCTCTATGTTACTCGGCTGTAACTCTAACCTTGCTCTCCATCTCAGCAGAGATCTTCTCCACAACATTCTGCCAGTCCTGCTCCTGGCCGGTGACTTTGCCAAGGAGCTCCTGAAACATGGAGCTGAGCTGCTCCGTCATGGTGTCAAACTGCACCCGGCTCACCGTCGACTCCAGGGCCCTCTTGTCTGCTTTCTGCAGGACATACACACATCTACATGGTAGATGACGGCTTCACACCAGTCAACTTTCATTTTCTGGGACCATTTCACAGAAATGAGGCCCACGTTTGGCTGGTCATGCTAGTCAGCAAGCCGTATCTCAATGGGCCTCCTTAGGGGCAGCCCTAGAGATTCTGGAGTCCATGAATCATATCATATCCTCCTGATTCCCCACCCATTCATTCATGTCCAATGTAGTGGACATTTTATTTTTGCATCTATCTTTTCACTGATGTAAGGAAACATATTTATTCCTGTTGTGCACTAAAGAGGACATGCTGTGAAATTAAAAATAAAAATTAATTTGAAAAAATCTAAATTGTAAGATGTCTTATTTCCTCCAAAGACAAATAACCTACAATTGAAGGACACTTTTTTCCTTGGGTCTCAGAAGGATATTGGGCCCCCAACACAGACCAATCCAATCACCCCTGGCCTTCATCACTAGAAACATAGACGGCAAGTGGGCTCACAGTTCTGGGCATCTTACAATGTCAATCTTCATTTCCACAAGGTCCTTGTCTGCTTTCTTCTCTTCCAGATGTTTCAAAGACTTGTGCATTTGCTAAAGAAAGCATAACAAAATACCTGCTGAATTCTTACCCCAAATCTTGTTCATTAATTACTGAATTAGTATGTTTTGATACATGCTGTTATGCATGATAATATACAGCTTTATGGCACAATGTTACTCTGCCTAACTACAGAGTCTATGCATGTACTCCATATGCCTCTCATGAATGTTGCTTCAGTCAAAACTGTCTGCTAAATAAATAAAGCAAATATGAGGATCCCTCCAGTAGGTTTACCAATGACTTATAGATTAATACTCATTGATACTTATAGATCTTGTATCTGACTCACATTTCCAAATATTTATGTAGTTCCATTGCTTTGTTAAGGGACTGACAAAGTATTTTAATGGGATATAAATGATGTAGATCAGGAGAATGATATTCCTTGCCAACCCTGCATCAGTCCCGGAGCACATTATTCCCCAGCTTCCCCCCCCCCCCCCCCCCCCCCCCCCCCCCCCCCCCCCCCCCCCCCCACCACTCACATCCATGTTAGTTTGCGTTTGGACCTGATCCTCCACTAGGTGGCAGACTGTGTCGCCTAGCTTCTTGCACTCTTCCTCCAGTTTCAGCATGACCCCTTGCGCAATGCCAATCAGCTCGGAGTTCTGGGAATTAAACAGATAAGAAGGCAGAGACGCCCAGAACTGTCAGGGTGTAATGTTACCATAACGTGTTGATGCGCTTGCTGAGCCGATGGATCCTAGGCCCCATTTAAGAGTTACATCATGCTTTTAACTAGTTTCTATTCTAAGAATAATATAAGAACAGCCACTTACTGATCAATGCTGACAATAAATAGTGGGCTTGTCTGCACTCTACTATCTGTCCTGCCCTAGATAAGTCTTACAAGATCTAATCTTTCCCTCCAGCTTCTCTGTAACAATTTAGCTTCCCTATCTCTGTTCCAGATCGGTTGCTTGCACTGTGACAGTAACAAAAAAAAATATGTTTTTGAGAAGCAGCCAATACATGTCAGTCATCTGTGGTAAAATAGTTCTGCCTTAAAAAAAATCCAAAAATCTCCTTTGCAAACCTCCTTCCTGTGTTTGGGTATCATACCTTCATTCTGTCAGTCATTAATCCATCCACTAGACCCTTCATGTAGTTCAGCTGCTCCAGGAGATCATCATGTGCATTCTGGTTAACTAAAGGGGTATATAAAATAGGGGTATATAATGCCTCCGTTATAGGTAGTCAGTTACCTAGTCCACCTGTGAATGTCAGGAGTAATCCTACTCCATTGGGCTCTTGAGCAAGGCCCTTTTCTGACAATTGCTTCATCCTAAGCATGAAGTTAATCTACATCCAGCCCTGCAAGCAGGTCCTCCAGCTTACAGTTAAAACTTGCACAGTGGTGGCAGGATTGGCACTCACCCTGTTCACCACTGTTCCATTCAGACTAGTGTGGTGCTGAGGTATCATCCGCTGCACTCGGGTTCTCATCCCTGAGGTGGTTAGTCGTGTGGTGGGTGCAGCAAAGCACTGTAATGAGTGCACGCTCCTTACCTCTCTATCTAGTCCTGTGTTTCTCAACCCAGTCCCCAGGAATCCCCAGACAGTCCATGTTTTTGTTCCCTCCCCCGGGAAGGGAGCAAAAATGTGGACTGTCTGACAGGGAGCTGGGAGGGAGCAAAAATGTGGACTGTCTGTGGTCCCCAAGGACTGGATTGAGAACCACGGATCTGGTCAAAGTTATGATCTCGTGTTTATAACAGGACCATGTTTTTGGATAGTGGGAAGAAGCCAAAATGCCACAATTAGACATTAACCAAGCTGAGCTAAACAATGCCACTATCTCACTCATGTATCACTAACCTGCCAATGGTCAGGTCATACACAGAGCTTTTTATTCTTGGCAGGTTGTAGCGAATGTTGCCCCATTATATGTCAAGTCAAAGCCAAAGTGTCTTTATCGTGATCTTCAGCGATATGATACGCTGATATGATATTAAGATCCCAATGGTTATGGTGCAAGAAAACAATGATAAATAGAATATAAATATGAATATGAATGACATTTAAAAACTGAGAATTTAAACATGACATACTGAGACATGGACATAAGACAAAGATGGAAAAAATTATCATATATATAGATAAATAAAAATAGTAAAAAAAAAATAAAAAAAGACTTGTGCAAATGGGGATGAGGAGTATGGAGAGGAATGAGCAGGCAAGTGGCCGGCCGTGCCTATGCCTGTGAAGTGATCCCTCAGGTGCTGCAGGTCCGAGCGCTCAGCTTTGTCCTTCTCCACCTGGGCCACTCGTTCCTCCAGGCAGTCATGCTGCTTCTTCAGCTGGCCCACGTGCCTCAGGGCATTCACTGTCTCCGGATAGTGTTCCGCCCCCACGCTAAAGCGAGACTGCAGCCTGGCGTGGGGCTGAGGTGGGCGAGGGGAGAGCCCGTCACCATCACGCAGCGTGCAGTCAGGCGGTTCCGGGGGGGGCCCCAGCGACTGGGCGACAGCAAACATGACCGTGCTGAACACACATGCAGGTCGGGCAGCACTGAAGCGAAATAACAGCAGATAATCCAGGGTACCTTCAACAGCTGCTGGTCCTCCCTCACTAGGGTATCCTGTAGAACATCCCAGGTGATGAAGTGAGTCAGCTCCTCTGGATCAGGGTACAGTCTCACCGTCTCCTGCACCTCCCTCTTGAATGTATGTCGGCACAGAAACTTATTGATTAATACTGTCCTGGGGATAATACTCATCTAAGACAAATATGGCCTCTACAATACTTAGAAACGCGAGCGCTCAAATAAATACCACCAAACAAATGGACGCACCAATACTTTCTCCAAGTCTTCCACTTGGTGGCAGCACTGTTCCAGAATTTTCACTTTTCCCAGCAGTTCATTCATGTTCAACTAGGGGGAAAAAATCATGCATAATGAGCAGATCTGATTTATGAAGTAAGTATATCTGCAAATGTAGATATCATAGGTCATATATGCATATATGCATGTACATATGAATATTCGCCTGAACCCAGAGCTTTATTCAGCTAGACTATGGAGAGAAAAACTAAGTCAATGTGTTCAACCTTGAAATGATAATATCTATATATATAGCAGTATGTGTAGGGTATGTGTACCCTATTAGCCCTTTCAGTTTTCTAATCCTTAATTTCACAGGATTCTTTGTTGCTACAACTGGTTGAGAGAGAAATGCTCAATGTGGCTTCAAAACAACTGCAAGAAACAAAAACAAAACGCAAAAACATCCATCTGTCCATTCTGCAGTCGCTATTTCCTGACGGGGCCCTAAGGGGACCTGGAGCCAATCTCCAAAGTTCCAAGCCCCCACCCAGGGGGTGTGAAGCAGTATGTCCAACGATTGAACCATCATGCCACTCAAAACTCAACGTCTGTAGAAGTAAAGCATAACTGCACCACCTCATTACAATGTGGATTTATCTCAGAAGTCAAGTATGTGTCCGTAATTGTGCATCCTTACCTGTGACAGCTGCCCCTGCAGAGTCCTGACCTCCTCCTGTAAGTGGTTTCTGGATGCCTGAAGTTCACTAATCTCCTTCATTAAGTCCTGCATCAGAGCCATGGACTGATGATAAGCAGAGAAGGCAAAAGGACAGTGTGGTCAGGGGTCTGCTTACACACAGGGGCATTTAAACCTGACACATTCATTAAAACGGAAGCATCTCATGTTTCAGTGCTAAAAAAGAATTTTAAGTACTTTTGCTTTTGTTTTCTTCTTTTATCTGAGAAACGTAAATGCTAAGTAAATGTAGTTCATTGTTCAGTCCAGCATTCCATGGTAAAATCAGGAGTCTTGCAGCTCCTTTAAAATGGTCAAAAATATTTATAATAATACACATATAAAACGGTATAATTGCTATTATTTAGAAAAAAAATCTAAATAACTGAGTATCAAAGAACATCAATTATACGTTTGTAGTTCCACTTTAACACAAAATGCAAGCACTGTTCCACTCTGTGGTGTTGCTAGCCTGATATGACTTTAACTATGATTTCATTCAGCCTGAAAGCTCCTCCATGTCCCTCACCATGACAACAGTAACTCAGGAGTAACAGAGGAGTAACACTTGACTCCAAGGCATATGAAATAGAAAATATTTAACAAACTCCTTTGAAGACTGGCTTTGATCTTGTCATACCAGGAATGGCTCACAAATTAATCTAAAAAAATTATGATGCGCACAACTTCCAATTGCTTGAAGGCCTGGAGCCTATCCTAGTCAGCACAGGACATGAAGGATGCCAACAAACAGTACCTTACAGCTACTTGTAGTAGTGACTTCCCATAATCCAAACACATGACCTCTAAATAATGGGTATAGAATAAATGTGGGTATTAGTGCCCCACAATGGACCGAATTGGCAGGATCTCTTAAAACATTCTCATTAGACTGTGTTTAAAGGTTGTTTTCTGAAAAACATGTAGCACAGAACCAGCAACCTTCTGATAACAGAGAATCCTAACCCACCCATAAGATTAAGAACTACTGAAATATCTTCCATAAAACATCTTTTGCATACTGTACGTCTGCATACGCTAAGTTCTAAGTTTTATGAACTTAGTAGTTGAGTTTTGAGATACATGTGTCACTGCCAAACTGTTTTTGGTCATTTTTATTTTTGTTATTTTACCAGAGCAAGTATATAACTTATTTATAAGATTAGCACAAAAATTAAGTTGAATATTTTATTTTTCTGTCACTATAGTTTCCAGGCATTCAACAATAATACCTTAGAGAGCAATGATTTTATGTTTAAGAACAATACTGTTCCAAACAGAAAAATGAGATGAAGCAGAGAAAATGAGTTTCCGTGCCGGCACCAGCTTACAGTCAGTCATAGCACAGATTAGCTGCTATGTGTACTCTATCCTCCCTACGTCATTAAGAAGCTCCGTGGAAACTCTTCACTCTAAACAGAATTCCACCTCTTTAGTAGATACACTGTCACAGCACCCGTGCCACAATTGTAGTCAATGGCAACAGTGTGTGTCAATAAATATATAATCCTTAGAGGAAATACAACTCAAGCCAAACAGCTTAAGTGTACTACATTGTGACTCCGTTCTTTTTTAATGGAAAAGTTATGGGGGGGGGGGGGTCCTAGTAAGGGTGATTGTTTCCATTACTTTGAAATCCTTTAGCCATTCTGTTAGAATGACTAGTGATCCATTAACTGGCATTAATATTGATGGTTGGGGAATTACGCTCCATGACACGACAACCACAAAGAAGAAGAGTGAACGTGTGGATCATTCCACAACAGGGCGCCAGCCGTTGCAGAATAGTTGGTTACAGCATGAGTCTGCTTAACCTCACAACCATCATAATTAAGTCTCAAGAAAAAAACCCACAAGAAACAATCAAGGTTCTGTGGAAAGGCTGAAATAACCCAAACACAGCAACTCCCCAAGCTATTTCAGAAGATATCAATGAACCATGATAGAAGTATTAATATTTTTTTTTTTTTTTGGTGGACAAACAGGATTTATAAAAAGCAGAGAACCTGGAGTTACAAACCATATTCAAGTCAGAAGCAATGGTGGACATAACAAACCTGCAAGCTTTTCCAAGGTTCTGGAGAGGTTAATCATGCTGGGTCAACTAGGGGAACAAATGACACTGCTGCCCCACCAAAAGCCCAATGTGGACCGTCTATTATTAAACAGCCTTTGATAGATGGTCCTATTTTCCTCCAGTCGGCTAACTTTCACATCACCTGAGACTTATTATTCTAGTGACACTGACAACCTGCTCAGGGGGTATTAATTAAAACTTCATATGGAGAATGAGTTGCACAGCACAGGACAGGTCTGGGCTTGAACCAGTAAAGAGGAATGTCATTAGAGCTCTAACTGCCCCAACCCAGTACATACTCGTACTGTACCATATTTTTAACTCTTCCCGTGAAACTCGCCAATATGCAGTACATATCCAGACAGAAACTTATCACACCAAAAAAACAGCAAAATATGGAACTCTGGACCCAAATTGAGAAACCTGAAGAGAGCCTGGGCAAAGTCATCCGAGAAGATAGAAGGCGATGTCCAGGCAGCATCAGCCATTGTCCTTTCCTGGGTTAATTGCCACTGACCTGGGGTTGAGAGGCCCCCCGCTGAGTGAACTAATTAGCTGGTGCTGGAAGGGCAGGGCTGGTAGTGCACCAGAAGATGATGCGCGACTCCCTCAGCATCGTGAAGGACAGTAGCACTTTTGGTCCAAAAGTTATGTTGAACTTTTGTCACTTTTGAAATGATAAAAGGCATGTTTTAGTTTGCCAAGTCATTTACACAGATCCTTCAATAGGCTGTTCTTATTGCTAAAATTATGTATTTATATCAGTGTCATTTATTTATATTTCATATATCGCAAATTGTAGGGATAAAAATAAGGGTACAACCAGCCATAACAATTGTGGGTTTTGTTTCTTTGTCTTTTTTTTTTTATTACTATGTTGGGTAATAATTCTCCTGTATGTCGCAGTCAGTGAAGAGAAACAGGCATGAACTTCTAGGAATGGGAAAGTATTAGGGTAATTATTCCCTATTACTCATCATTTTATGAAGTATGGTAAAATTTTCTGAAGGTATATTTTGGGAAGAAAACATTCACTGTTAAAGTCCACTTATCATGTACAATGTTCAGTCAGTGATCAGTGTTGAGCTGTTACTGTAAATACTTCTAGCGACTCAGCTCTGTTCTTGCAAAGGTGTTTTAAGGATATCCTCCTTTCTTCATCCATGTCTGTGGCTAAGCCCTTTAAAGGAACAATGTTTTATTCTGATTACTCAGTTGATGGTCATTATCATAATTTAACCTTATTTTTATAGTTTTGCAGTCACTTTTAGCAAACAGCAGTTGAATGGTGAAGAGCGAACCTGTACTTGGATTTCATTATTTTCAGAGGTGGAGATTTCAGGTCCAGAGAGTACAAATCCAGACCAAGATTTTGTTTCAACCAACCACTGTGTCACTGTGACTCTTTATACTCAACTGAAACAAAATCTTGCGTTGAAACAATGCATTACTAAACTATTACATACCGTGTACATAATTATTACATGCTAAAATATATCACTTCACAAAGCCATTGGCAAACCTATCTATGATAAACAATTTTATATTATTGTATAAAATCTATGAGATTTCAGATACTCTAAGAGTATTTGACAGATATAGACATATGTTTTATAAATGTTGCACATGATATAAGGATGTATTTAGTTAGTTGCAAGCCTGACCAAGTCCTACTCTGAAATGAGTAAGAATACACCCTTTTCATGATGATGACACACACTTTGGTCTGCTTAAGTGGTATTCAGGACTGCAGGTCTGCAGAAGAAGATACTGTTGTTACAGATGCCTATTGTGTGCGGAGTGATTTACTCGTATATATAATGACAATGCTCTGGATAGGGTGCAAATATACCATGGATTGAATCTGGACTCCTTACTGATACTTGGTGAGAAGAGTTGGGTCATCTGGTCATAAAACATGAACTTATCATTCATGGTTTGATGCGAATATCCAAAGCAAATACAATTATTTATAGTCCTGACTAAAACAGGCATAAAGGCAAAGAGCAAGTGTAAATATTAAAAATAGTCCAGTCTATTACAGTGTTATTGATGTTGTATATGTTTTTTCATTCAACATTATTTACAGTAAATCTAGTCTGGCAGATTAACACAAAGAAAAAACAAAGATACCAAATCTGATAAATTGAAATCCTACAAATCTGTTTCGGTGCCTTCATAGAGAAAACGATCTTGCTGTATGTGTGTATCTCAATACGAACATATTATCTTTTATTCTCTAACTATATTGCAGTTGTAAATGTCCCTAGTATGCCGTTACCTTAGACACACCATCTTCGTTGGCTTCAACCCTTCGGCGAAGCTGCATGATCTGCCACATATCGTTGACCGGTGAGACGCCGGTACTGGTACAGGCTATGAGGTCAGCCCCGCTTGGCAGCTTCTCTAACAAGGCTAGCTTGCTCTCGATATCCCGAAGCTTGTTTTCCATGTTATGGTACTCTCTGGATTCTCCATCTGGAGATAATTGCCGCTCGGTCGGGCCATGTCCCCTCGGTTCCTCATGTGTCCACTGCGTGGTCGCATCTTGTATGTCAAGTCGGGTTATGATCGCATGCAGGAGGGTGTGCAGCGCGCTGAAGTTCACGCATCCTGTGTCTGCGATTCCGATTGATAGATTTACCAGGTCAAATAAAGTAATAACTGATGACATGGCAGCTCACAAAATTTACAAACTATAGTGACACAATTCGGAAATTTCCCTTGACTAAAATACAAGTTCAACGGTTCCGTGTTATACAAATGATCTGTTTGTATCGGAATAAATGTATAAAGTTTTCCGTTCCATCCGTTTCATGACAAAAGTACAAATTCGATTTTTTTTTACGTAAATTTTCCAAAAAACAAAGTTGATAGTATTTTGTCTGTCCCATATTATTAAATTAATAGATAAAAAATAAAAGTGATCTCAGTCAGCCTACATTCTACGACTGAAAGAAAACACGAAACGCCTGAGACTTATCGGTAATATGCAGAGCAGCCTCTGTCACTATATTGCTTTCATTTAAGTGACTTCCAAGCTCTGTGCCATCTTCGCTTAGTGAACTGCAAACTTGCGTCTTCTCATAAGGCTTCCTTGTTACCATCCCTATTATTCGGTGATTGGGCAGCCGAACTATCAATCTGTAAATGACCCCTTTATGAGCCATAGCTGGTATAGTCGCTTAGCAATACTCTCTGCAGCTCACTAACAAAGTTATTGCCATTGAGTGGTATGAACGTGCCTGAAATATTGCTTACAAGTGCAAAATACAAAGAAAAAAGAATGCACGAATAAAAGATGAAACCACACATACGTTTGCTTTGATTATATAATTCACACCCTTAACATTACTGATTATCAAAAGCCTGAAACTGAAAGAAAACTCTTTAAAAAAAAAAAAATTATACTATAAATGTCGTACGCCTTGGGCTACAATAAAGAAAGAATATTAAACCTGGAAAAAATGCGTGAACTGTTTAAAATATCTCCTTTATTAGTCCTATGCTGCTTTCATTTTATGATCCAACCAAAGATATACAGTATTTACTAACTACAAGGATTTATTTATAAAGCCCAGTGCCGGAGCCTCTCAGTGCAATATTCAGACTCACTCATGACGTCAAGCCTGGAGTACTCCAGCATCTTCTCCCATTCCATTCATTTGAGTTCGTATCACGTTGTCTTATTCCACTTTAATTTTTTCTTTAAAAAACATTCTGTTGTTCGTATTGTTAACTTGGAATTTCAAAATGTATTAAATTCAACATCTGGGAGTTTTTTTAATGTGCAAATATGTTTTTGTTCTGAATAATTATTGACATATTCTCACGTTGAAAAATGACTAGCGTTTTTCAATGCATATGTTCTTAAATTTTATATTACAGACTTCCGAACCCAACGTTAATCTTATGAACGGTGCCATTCACAAACATGTAGGGATATGCAGGTAGATATCTCGATCAGTATCGATACTTCGACATTCAATAGTTACTGATTTGCCATCGATTTGGCGCCAGCAAACCCAGTACGGGACACTTCTCTTCTACACATATCCACTTTCCCGGCAAACTGCGCCGCCTAGAATTAGCGCTCAGCATAATCAAATTTTATTCGTCCAAACAGACCATGTGATCTTTTCAGCCAATAAGAGTTGGCGACGTATTGTTCCTTGACTAAAACAATTTAACAATAAATAAATAAAAATTTGAGTTTAAGGGCAAACAAGTCGTAATGAATTATGTTTAATGTAACAGTTTTCAACATGATTTATTTGTATAAAATATCCATTCCGTTACAGACCTTACACATTTTAGGACTGCCTCCTGCGTATTATCCGCCATTTTGTGAATATTTGAGAAGCGGTAGTAACCCGGATCAGCTCCCTGGTTAGTATACGGTGCGTCTCGCTGCGTGTGGTTCTTTTAGGTGGCGCAGAGCGACCTAGTCACTTGTTAAGCTTGCAAATCTCAAGTCGATTGTGTGAAACCAACACGCCTCTTAGCATCTTTATGTTTTCAGGACTCGCTGGCTGTTTTCTCCGACTAATTAGCTTAGAGATTTAGGGAACTAAGCAGCAAGCCGAGATCGCACTGTGAGGGAAGATGAGTTACGGCAGGCCTCCGCCCGACGTCGAGGGCATGACTTCCCTGAAAGTGGACAACCTCACGTACCGAACTTCGCCCGAGACTCTACGCCGAGTCTTCGAGAAGTACGGACGGGTCGGCGACGTCTACATCCCGAGGGACCGCTACACTAAGGAGAGCCGCGGCTTCGCCTTTGTGCGCTTCCACGACAAGAGGGACGCCGAGGATGCCATGGACGCCATGGACGGCGCGGTGCTGGACGGGCGGGAACTGCGCGTTCAGATGGCACGCTATGGACGACCGCCGGACTCCTACTATGGTCGCCGCATAGGACCGCCCCGGAGGTACGGGGGATATGGCCGACGAAGTCGAAGGTAGGAGCGGAGCGTTAGAGCTCTAGCTCTCATCTTCGCTTGCGTTTAAGCCATTTATCTTTTTTAGGGAGGGAGGGAGGGAGGGGGGGGCTGGGTGGACTGGCGGTAAACTCTTGCTTGTAGCACATGCGTCACCTGTAGGCCTGAAGCGTATTTTCACCGGCATATTTACAAATTCTTACCCATTTTTCTCGATTCCCAAATAAGAATAAGGAAAGTGAAGTGACAAGGCTTTTGTTAGATTTTGTTGGTCTTGTGTATTCACGAAGAATACGGTGCTTATTTCCGAGACGCGCTGTAACGGGAGCGCACCTCATGGCACACCGCCTTCACTTTTAAGATCGAATTATATCCAGTCAGCGGCTTTACTTTACACTCGGGGCTGATTTTTCGCTGTAGTTCTCTTAATAGGATTTTGTAATCACAACCGTGACTTAAGACCTAGTGTCCGCCTAGCTATTGCGACCGTTTCCCCATCAGACCAGTGGTGAGACGTTTAATGGGGTTTATTCTGATTTTGTACATGTCTGACCTTTCCCCCCTTAGCTATTCTCCTAGCCCAAGGCGGCGAAGGCGGAGTCGGAGCAGGAGCCGATCTCGGTCCCGCAGCCGTTCGCGCTACAGCCGATCCAGATCCCGATCTTACTCCCGGTCTCGTTCCCGTTCCAAGTCTCGTTCGCCCCGACGGGCCTCCAGATCCCGTTCACCCCGAAAGCCCTCGAGGTCCCGCTCTCCTAGACGCAATTCCAGATCCAGGTCTCCCCGAAGAAACTCCAGATCCAGGTCTCCCCGAAGAAACTCCAGATCCGGGTCTCCGCGAAGAAACTCCAAATCTCGCTCTCCTCAAAAGGATTCGAAGTCCCATTCACCAGGCAGAGCCTCAAAGTCCCATTCTCCACGCAAAAGTTCTAAGTCCCGTTCACCCCAGAAGAGCTCAAAGTCTCGTTCCCCTGGCAGGAATTCAAAGTCCCGCACTCCTCGCGGGAGCAAGTCTGCATCCAGATCCCGCTCCAGATCTAAGTCAAAATCCCGATCAAGGAGCCGTACACCCCCTTCTAACAGGGAATCCAAGTCCAGGTCTAGGTCCAAGAGCCCAGCAAAGTCTCCCGAGGCAGAAGGAACAGCTTCCTAATGGAGTGAGAGTGAGTATGTGAATTGAAACTGTTGGATAAATTGATTGTTTAGGGCCAGATCTCAAGCATGCTGAGATTCCACCACTAGTGAATGGTGTGCATAAGATTTGAGAGAAGGTAGGACACAAGTAGTTGGGAAGAGTGAAGGGCTCAAACGGCTTTCTACAAGCTTCAACACGTAATGGTCACTGCTCAAAATAATCAGTCAGTCATTTTTTTATTTAATACACTAATTATATAGTTATTTTTGGAACTACAGTGACCTATGAAAAGTCAGATCCAGCATTACTGGGTTTGACTCCTTTCCTGAGCACGAAAGGTTGCAGAAGGCCGCTGTGTTGCATTCTCACAGTTCTGGTGCTAATGTGTTATGCAGTTTAAACTTCATTTCAGGCTAGTTTTTATGGGGGGAGGTGGGTTGGTGTCTTTTTTGAGTGATTTATTTTTTGGGTTTAAAATATTCACCAAAAATGTGGAATTCTCTCCTCCAAGCTGCTGCTTCCTGTTTGCAAAAATGGAGTTTGGGGGCAGTTTGAGCAGTTAGTGTGTGACCCGCCCATGGGCTGCCTGCTGCTGTTGGGGGTTGCTATGGAGCAGGTCGGTCTCTGTCAGTGTTGAGGTGGTGTTGAGGTACGTCTGCAGGACAATGGACAGAAGCCTTGCACTGTCCTCCCGGGTCATGTGCTCAAACTTAGTGCACAGACTGAAGCAGGAGGGAACCAAGGTTTGTCTGCCTACTTGTCAGTGATTAAAGGACTTGCCTGACAGCTTGCCGTGCTCATTTAGAAGACTACCCCTTTAAAAATGAAGTCAGACACCACTGGATTGTTGCACTAAAACTTGGTTTCCAACTGTGGAAAATGGTACAGACATTGGTACAGTGACTAGAATTATGTTTTGCAATAAATTGGCTCCCACAAGACTGTTTCCAGTTGTAACATGGCAATAGCCAGTTGCCACATTTTATTTGACTTGAAAATATCAAGCAGACTTTAAAATTCTATGGTAATTGATAGAATATTACCAAAGAGGTTTGCTTTGCAATGATAGAATGTTCACATTGTCTTGTCTCTCTCTAGATTTTTCAGGTCGAGACGACACTGAAGACATCACATCAAAAGTAATGGCCTCAAAATGAGGACCCATCGGTTCCTCTTGATATGGATAAAAAGGTTATTATTGTAACTTGGTCTGACTTTTTATGAGTATTATTTTTGGTTTAGAATTAAGGCTTTTTTTTGTGCCATCTTCCAATTTCCTGTAACTCAATAGGATGAACAACATATAATGGACTTGTGTAAATGGGGTAAAGCAAGATTTGCAAAGTGAATGGTACAGTGCTAAGGATTTCCAGTTAATTCATGCAGTGTTCAACTAGATATTCAAACTAAAGTAGGTGATTGGACGAGGCTTAAGACAGACTTGGTAGTACCCGGGGTCTGCTGTGTTTCATTCAGAAAATACAGAGAATCAACGCTTTTGCATGCCTGTGCTGATGTCAAATAAATTTTAGCTTTTGAGGAGTGATTTCAACATTAACTGGTAAGAGGGTGTAGCGTGGTCAGAGCAGTCTTTATCCTGGTTAACTTAGCACTGATTTAAATTGCTTGCTTTATTTGTAAATGGTGGTTTTTGTTTTATTGTGATTCTAATCTCTTCTCTTGTGTATTTTTTGTGCACTAGGCGCAGTTTGTAGCAGTTGAGTATTGCTGGTTAGCTGTTAAAGGTGGCGTGTGGCAGTGCAGAGTGCTTGGCTGTTTCCAGTTTTCTCCTGATTGCTCCTGTTACGATGCCTTGGTGTGCCGATGTGTTTAAATGGCTGCCACAGATTACTTTTGGTAGGACGCCAGCTCTGAATTTCCTGACATATTTTTTTTTCTTCCCAGTACATTGGAATGTATAGTTCAGTGACCACATCTTGCAAGTAGTTACAAACCTCTGCCCCCCCCCCCCCTTCCCCCATGTTTTGAAATAACTTTGCATTACACTGAAAACATTGTAACCAAATTCTGTAACTTGCTATTGGTGCATTCCTTTACATACTGTACTTGTAACAGCTCATGTGAATGCTAATAAACCTTTTTTTTTGGTGTAATTTGTCTGGTCTTGAAAAATAAGAAGCCCTGGTATTGGTTGACTTTGAACCGATTTGGTTTAGTGTGTGGTGTTTCTGGAAAAACTTAGTTGTTGGTGTGCATTGAAATGAATTTCATTGATGGTGAGT